TGGGTCTATGAAAGATGAGGTGAATCATAGAATTGATGAGGGAAAAAGAGTGAGTGGTGCACTTAGGAGTCTGTGGAGACAAAGAACTTTGTCCTTGGAGGCAAAGAGGGGAATGTATGAGAGTATAGTTTTACCAACGCTCTTATATGGGTGTGAAGCGTGGGTGATGAATGTTGCAGCGAGGAGAAGGCTGGAGGCAGTGGAGATGTCATGTCTGAGGGCAATGTGTGGTGTGAATATAATGCAGAGAATTCGTAGTTTGGAAGTTAGGAGGAGGTGCGGGATTACCAAAACTGTTGTCCAGAGGGCTGAGGAAGGGTTGTTGAGGTGGTTCGGACATGTAGAGAGAATGGAGCGAAACAGAATGACTTCAAGAGTGTATCAGTCTGTAGTGGAAGGAAGGCGGGGTAGGGGTCGGCCTAGGAAGGGTTGGAGGGAGGGGGTTAAAGGAGGTTTTGTGTGCGAGGGGCTTGGACTTCCAGCAGGCATGCGTGAGCGTGTTTGATAGGAGTGAATGGAGACAAATGGTTTTTAATACTTGACGTGCTGTTGGAGTGTGAGCAAAGTAACATTTATGAAGGGATTCAGGGAAACCGGCAGGCCGGACTTGAGTCCTGGAGATGGGAAGTACAGTGCCTGCACTCTGAAGGAGGGGTGTTAATGTTGCAGTTTAAAAACTGTAGTGTAAAGCACCCTTCTGGCAAGACAGTGATGGAGTGAATGATGGTGAAAGTTTTTCTTTTTCGGGCCACCCTGCCTTGGTGGGAATCGGCCGGTGTGATAATAAAAAAAAAAAAAAAAAAACCACTAAAAAACCCGCTCAACACTATTCGTCCGAGACGCGTCTAATGTGCGGCCTGAGCCAGCCTCACATGTTCCGCCGGTGGCATTGTTTACAAGCCAGCCTCCGCGGTAACATCCAAGCATACAATCATAACATTTCGTATTATTACAGCGTTTTTGGTGATTTTATCTGCAAAATAAGTGACCATGGGCCCCAAGAAAGCTTCTAGTGCCAACCCTGTGGTAAAAAGGGTGAGAAATATTATCGAAATACTGTGGTACCATGGTCAACTGCTGATGCTGCTGCTGCTGTAGCACTGTCATCTGCTGCTGCTGCTGTACCACCGTCAGCTGCTGCTGCTTCTGTAGTACCGTCTGCTGCTGCTGCTGCTGTAGTACCGTCTGCTGCTGCGGTAGCATCGTCTGCTGCTGCTGTAGCACTGTCAGCTGCTGCTGCTGCACTGTCAGCTGCTGCTGCACTGTCAGCTGCTGCTGCTGCTGTAGCACTGTCAGCTGCTGCTGCTGCTGTACCACCGTCAGCTGCTGCTGCTGCTGCTGTACCACCGTCAGCTGCTGCTGCTGCTGTACCACCGTCAGCTGCTGCTGCTGCTGTACCACCGTCAGCTGCTGCTGCTGCTGCTGTAGTACTGTCAGCTGCTGCTGCTGCTGTAGTACCGTCTGCTGCTGCTGCTGCTGGCTGTAGTACCGTCTGCTGCTGCTGCTGCTGTAGTACCGTCTGCTGCTGCTGTAGCATCATCTGCTGCTGCTGTAGCATCGTCTGCTGCTGCTGTAGCACTGTCAGCTGCTGCTGCACTGTCAGCTGCTGCTGCTGCTGTAGCACTGTCAGCTGCTGCTGCTGCTGTAGCACTGTCAGCTGCTGCTGCTGCTGTACCACCGTCAGCTGCTGCTGCTGCTGTAGTACCGTCTGCTGCTGCTGTAGCATCGTCTGCTGCTGCTGTAGCAATGTCAGCTGCTGCTGTAGCACTGTCAGCTGCTGCTGCTGTAGCACCGTTGTTGGTGTGGCTTATTGAGAATACCAAGAAACAATTAACCCCAGAGGGTTAGCCACCCAGGATAACCCAAAAAAGTCAGTGTCATCGAAGACTGTCTAACTTATTTCCATTGGGGTCCTTAATCTTGTCTCCCAGGATGCAACCCACACCAGTCGACTAACACCCAGGTGAACAGGGAAAAACGCCTGGAACTAGTGCTCATATTGGCGAATTTAAAGCCAGCAAAGGTTGGTTTGAGAGATTTAAGAATTGTAGTGGCATACACAGTGTGATAAGGTCTGTTCTGGAAGAAAATGCCAAACAGGACCTACAGTACTCAGGAGGAAAAGGCACTCCCAGGACACAGTGTCTCATCAGTCATTGCTGCATCTTCAATAAAGGTGTCATTTATTCTTCATTTAGTAGAGTAGTAAATGCACAATATATATTGTGCATGTACTACTCTACTATTGTGCATGTATCCTTCTCTTTGTGTGTAGGAAAATGTATATTTCATGTGGTAAAAAAATTTTTTCATACTTTTGGGTGTCTTGCACGGATTAATTTGATTTCCATTATTTCTTATGGGGAAAATTCATTCGCATAACAATAATTTTGCATAACAATGAGCTCTCAGGAACAGATTAATATCGTTATGTGGGGGTCCACTGTATTTTTATATAGCTGGACTTGAGTCCTGGAAATGGGAAGTACAATGCCTGCACTTTAAAGGAGGGGTTTGGGATATTGGCAGTTTGGAGGGATATGTTGTGTATCTTTATATGATGATGAAAGTATTTTCTTTTTGGGGATTTTCTTTCTTTCTGGGTCACCCTGCTTTGGTGGGAGACAGCCGACTTGTTAAAAAAAAAAAACTGTGTATGTTAAGCAGGTTAAGCTCTTAAATAGCGGTGGGGTGTGTTGCCTGGTGCAGGAGTTTGTAGTCATTCTCACAGCAGCTTTCTGTTGTATAATTAAAGGTTTAAGGTGATTTGCTATGGTTGAACCCCCATGCACAAATTCCATAGGTGAGGTAAGGGTAGATGAGAGTGTGGTAAAGAGCAAGAAGTGCCTTTGGGGTACATAGTACTGTATCTAAGAGAGGATGCCTACTGTTTTGGAAATTTTTTTGGAAATATACTATATTTTTTTTTTTTCAACAAGTCGGCCGTCTCCCACCGAGGCAGGGTGACCCAAAAAGAAAGAAAATCCCCAAAAAGAAAATACTTTCATCATCATTCAACACTTTCACCTCACTCATATATAATCATTGTTTTTGCAGAGGTGCCCAGAATACAACAGTTTAAAAGTATATACGTATAAAAATACACAATATATCCCTCCAAAATGCCAAACATCCCAAACCCCTCCTTTAGAGTGCAGGCATTGTACTTCCCATTTCCAGAACTCAAGTCCAGTTATATAAAATAACCGGTTTCCCTGAATCACTTCACTAAATATTACCCTGCTCACACTCCAACAGCTCGTCAGGTCCCAAATACCATTTGTCTCCATTCACTCCTATCTAACACGCTCATGCACGCTTGCTGGAAGTCCAAACCCCTCGCCCACAACACCTCCTTTACCCCCTCCCTCCAACCTTTTCGAGGACGACCCCTACCCCGCCTTCCTTCCCCTACAGATTTGTACGCTCTCCATGTCATTCTACTTTGATCCATTCTCTCTAAATGACCAAACCACCTCAACGAACCCTCTTCAGCCCTCTGACTAATACTTTTATTAACTCCACACCTATATGTGGGTGTGAAATTTAAGAGAGCTGTCAATGTGGAGCCCTAGAAATTTTCTGTCAGTGCATCTTGAAATGGAGGAACCATTTATTGATATGTTTAGCTGAATATTTGCAGCTCTGTTACCAAACAGTATGTAGTAGGTTTTGTCGATATTGAGAGTAAGTTTGTTGGCTGTCATCCAAAAGGATATTTTTAGCAGCCAATCGAGCGAGTGTCCTCTGATTCCATAATGTTCAAGTTTTAGGTGCAAGAGATTGTGGTCAACCTTATCAAATGCTTTCCGTAGGTCTATGAAGAGGCCCAGTAGAATTTCCTTTTTTTCCAGCGCCACATATAGTAGCTCGAGAATATGTATAATTGTATCATTTGTGCTTTTGCTTGGCCTAAATCCAAACTCGTAGGGGTTAAGTATGTTGTGGGATACAAGGTAGGAGTAAACTTGTTTGTGTATTATTTTTTTGAAAATTTTAGATAGGAGGGGTAGGTTTGATATAGGTCTATAGTTATTTAAATCAGTTGGATCACCTCCTTTGTGGACTGGTGTAACTCTTGCTGTCTTGAGTAGGGATAGGAAGGTTGAAGATTCAGTGGACTTGTTAAAAAGTGTTGAATGTGCCATTAGCATGTCTGAGCAACATTTATGGTTTACAAGCAATTTACTAAGAAGGTACAATTAAAGAGAAATATACATAGAAAAGAAGGTGTATCAATATTGAATCAAATTATTTAGCAAAGTAAATTGAGTGCAAGCTGTTTAAGTAATATGCAAATTAATGACAATGTTCATTTCACTTCAAACGAGTTAATTAATGGCTTTGACAGCCTTTATCATCATACATCCTTTTTAAGTTTACTATTTTTGCATAAAAGTTGGTAATACTGCACATTTTCTCACCCCATAAGATTAAGAACATTGCATGGCTGATTTTATTATTATTATTATTATTATTATTATCACACTGGCCGATTCCCACCAAGGCAGGGTGGCCCAAAAAAGAAAAACTTTCACCATCATTCACTCCATCACTGTCTTGCCAGAAGGGTGCTTTACACTACAGTTTTTGAACTGCAACATTAACACCCCTCCTTCAGAGTGCAGACACTGTACTTCTCATCTCCAGGACTCAAGTCCAGCCTGCTGGTTTCCCTGAACCCCTTCATAAATGTTACTTTGCTCACACTCCAACAGCACGTCAAGTATTAAAAACCATTTGTCTCCATTCACTCCTATCAAACACGCTCACGCATGCCTGCTGGAAGTCCAAGCCCCTCGCACACAAAACCTCCTTTACCCCCTCCCTCCAACCTTTCCTAGGCCGACCCCTACCCCGCCTTCCTTCCACTACAGACTGATACACTCTTGAAGTCACTCTGTTTCGCTCCATTCTCTCTACATGTCCGAACCACCTCAATAACCCTTCCTCAGCCCTCTGGACAACAGTTTTATTATATAAGAAGTAAATTTACTGACCTTTAGGCCAGCACTTGTGGCTCTCCATCTTGATACAATGTCCCTCAACTGGTTAAATTGTTGCACAAACTGTGTTAACTCAAATGCGAAGCGCTGAGTATGTGTGTACATCACTGATGACATCTTCAGCTTCACTCGAATATCACATTCACGTTGTATGTCGGGATCCTCATGTCCATATCTGTTGAGATAGTATTAAGTAAACCCTCAATTTAACGAGGATGAGACAGTGGCTGGTGACGGCAAGTGTGGAAGACAGATGAGATTGATCTGCCATGACCATAGCAATAGTAAACAATTCTGTAACTAATGAACTTTGTTCACTGTTTCTCAGTTAACTCATCCATCAAATTTTGTCACAAATTTCCAAAATCTGTTAAATCAAGGTCCATTAAATTGAGGGTTTATTTTCCAAAAGTATTCTTACTTCGATTCCAAGAAAAGTTACAAGGAAAATCCCCAAATTACTTTTATTTAATACAGTATTAACCCTTTGACTGTTTTCGACGTATAAATATGTCTTACGAGCCAATGTTTCTGACGTATATATACTCAATAATTCTAGCGGCTTCAAATCAAGTGGGAGAAAGCTGGTGAGAGAATGGGTCTGTGTGGTCAGTGTGCACCACATAAAAAAAATCCTGCAGCACACATTGCGTAATGAGAAAAAAAAACTCTGATCGTTTTTTTGGAATAAAACGCCGACTTTGAGATGTATTTTCGTATAGTATTTATCGTTGTATTCGCGTTTTCATGGTCTTAGGTGATAAAATGGAAAACATATTACAGAAATAGAGATGATTTTCATTACTTTGACGATGAAAACGACCTTGAAACTGAGCTCAAAGTAGCGGAAATGTTCGATTTTTACCAATGTTCAGGAGTAAATAAATCACACCACGCGTCCAATACACGTCAACTGGGGAGTCTAATATTCTTTCACTAGTGCACTGATATTATTTATACCATTTTTACAATAATGCAGTAGTCTGCATAACAGTAAATTTTGTATTTTTTTGCATGAATAAAAAATCAAAATAGAAAGCAATAATAATATAAGAGGGGCCTAGAGATGTGACTAATGAACAGAGCATATGTTATTCAGTGCCACAAATGTCTACCTTGTTTATTCTGGACCCTATTTTGAAATTGGCATCTTTTTTAGTTTGCGTGAAATTGGCCAAATTGCCAATTTCTGACCACCATATTGGGTAGTCCAAATTAGTAAATGGGAGGCTTCTTGTACTCAGCTGATAGATAAAATGGAGTTCTAAATAAATAGCTATGAGTTTGGTCAACTGGAACAATGGAATTGGCTGAAAATAGGGCTCAACGTTGGCGAAATCGCCGATACGCATATGTCGCCGAGACCGCTAAATTCGCGGGAGCATAATTCCATGAGTTTTCAACCAAATTTCGAACTTTTGGTGTCATTACCATCGGGAAAAGATTCTCTATCATTTCATAAGAAATTTTTTTTTTTTTTTTTTCAAAAATTGAGCGACATAGAATGACAGTTTCAGAGAGGGGCCTGAAACAGTCAAAGGGTTAATAAGTCTTGAACTTCCAAATAAGTTGATAGACTTCTATGAATAGCAGATGCTGAGAACTTTATTAAAGTAACCAGAGAACAGGTGGGCACAGTGACAAGTCTATGTTACCTTAGCTCTTAATTTATTTTTAAAGGGTTAGGCCTGATAAACAAGAAAAAGTTTCTCTTACCTAAATATCTGGAAAGTCATTGCTTCATTTCCAGCAGTAATAAATTTCTCACGGTATAAGTCCCCATGATTTGTTAGATCAATGAGAGAGAGCGATCCTAAGCGACCTGTAAGTGTCAGATTACCCTCTGATCCAACTGACCGGACCAGGACCTGAGAGATATTTGCACGTGCCAGTTCACAGTCAGTCTTGTTGAGGATGAGAGTCAGTGAGTGCACTTTTATCTCCATGATAGTATTCAGCTCTTCTGCAACTGTATTTAATTAGAAACAAATTATATCATCTCAACATGTATAAAAATTCAGAAAACTTTAAAAATATGACAGAAATAACAAAAACAATCACTGAACTTGCAGAAAATATAGTACAAGTTTGGTTTTATTTTTTAAAGAAATACTACCATACTGCAAAGATGACAGTATACAGATTTTGGGTAGAACTAAAACAAAAACATTAATTTTAAACTTATACAATGTTAGGATTACTTTTTTTTCAACAAGTCAGCTGTCTCCCACCAAGGCAAGGTGACCCAAAAAGAAAGAAAATCCCCAAAAAGAAAATACTTCCATCATTATTCAATACTTTCACCTCACTCATACATAATCACTGTTTTTCCAGAGGTGCCCAGAATACAACAGTTTAGAAGCATATACATATAAAGATACACAACATAACCCCCCAAACTGCCAATATCCCAAACCCCTCCTTTAAAGTGCAGGTATTGTACTTCCCATTTCCAGTACTCAAGTCCGGCTATATAATAATGTTTGAAGTCTACGGATCCAGAGTAAACTTCAGACTTCTCTCTCTCTACCCTTATGGGTACCCTAGTTTACTTTACCTCTAATCATAATACCATCTCTAGGCTTGGGTCTTCCTCAGAGGATTCTGGGGAAGTTACTGAATTACACAAACCATAGAAAGCAAAACAACCACAGAGGAAGTTGAATGACAGATCTTGGCCTTTTGTGTTGTAATCAATGCATCATTGGGAGCTTGCAATGTTGCAAACATAGAGCAGGAAATCCAGGAAGGTCTGTTCATGTGAATGGCTCTCCCAAGGAGAGTCATTCACATGAATGGCCATTGTGTTGAAAAAATATTTAGTTAGGCATAAAACTTACCTTTAGGAACAAACATCTTGGAAGTGTCTGGAGAACTCTGTCCACTAGTTTGATTGAGAACACTGTCCTCTAGCTCAGTACTGAAGAAATCAAGCACCATGACCCATGATGAGATATTGATGACTGTATTAAGACTGTTGAAGTCAACATCAATGAATCTGTTCGTCTGTAAAAGGAAAGAAATATAAATTTAGCATATTACCTTAAATCACTTTAACCCTTTCACTAACAAGATCCCTGATCCTGAACTCACTCTCAGTGTCGAAGAATTTTAAAAAACAAAAAAAAAAAAATAATTTTTTCTTATGAAATGATAGAGAATCTTTTCCCGATGGTAATGACACCAAAAGTACAAAATCTGATGGAAAACTTACGGAATTATGCTCTCACGATGTTAGCAGTCTCAGCGATATATATGCATCGGCGATTTTGCCCACTTTGAGCCCTATTTTCAGCCAATTCCATTATGCCAGTCAACCAAACTCATAGCTATTTCTTTAGAACTCCATTTGTTCTATCGATTGAGTACAAGAAACTGCCCATTTACTGATTTCAACTACCCAGTAAAGTGGTCAGAAATTGGCTATTTGGCCAATTTCACACAAATTTCAAAAGATGTCAATTTCAAAAGGGTCTAGAATAAATAATGCAGACATTCCTGGCACTAAAATAACATTTTCTCTGTTCATTAGTCACATCTCCAGGCCCCTCTTATATTACTCTTGCTTTCCATTTTGAATTTTTATTCACACAAAAAATAGAAGATTTACTGTTATGCAGACTGGTGCATTATTGTATAATTGTATAAATAATGTCAACCCACTTGTGACCACATATTAGACTGGCCAGTTGGACACATATTGGACGGTGCCGTCATTTGTTTACTCTTGAACATCAGCAAAAACTGAACATTTCCGCTACTTTGAGCTGAATTTCAAGGTACTTTTCATCAGGAAACCAATCAAAATCATCTCTATTTCTGTAATAGAGATATATAAATAATATCAGGGCGCTTGTGAAAGAATATTAGACTCACCAGTTGGCGTGTACTAGGCATGTGGTGTGATTTGTTTACTCCTGAACATCGGCAAAAATCAAAATCGAGAGGTGGTTTGGTCATTTAGAGAGAATGGATCAAAGTAGAATGACATGGAAAGCATATAAATCTAAAGGGGAAGGAAGGCGGGGTAGGGGTCGTCCTCGAAAGGGTTGGAGAGAGGGGGTAAAGGAGGTTTTGTGGGTAAGGGGCTTGGACTTCCAGCAAGCGTGCGTGAGCGTGTTAGATAGGAGTGAATGGAGACGAATGGTACTTGGGACCTGACGATCTGTTGGAGTGTGAGCAGGGTAATATTTAGTGAAGGGATTCAGGGAAACCGGTTATTTTCATATAGTCGGACTTGAGTCCTGGAAATGGGAAGTACAATGCCTGCACTTTAAAGGAGGGGTTTGGGATATTGGCAGTTTGGAGGGATATGTTGTGTATCTTTATATGTGTATGCTTCTAGACTGTTGTATTCTGAGCACCTCTGCAAAAACAGTGATAATGTGCGAGTGTGGTGAAAGTGTTGAATGATGATGAAAGTATTTTCTTTTTGGGGATTTTCTTTCTTTTTTGGGTCACCCTGCCTCGGTGGGAGACGGCCGACTTGTTGAAAAAAAAAAAAAATATATAAAAATATATATATATATATATATATATATATATATATATATATATATATATATATATATTATATTATATATATTATATTATTTTTTTTTTATTATCACACCGGCCGATTCCCACCAAGGCAGGGTGGCCCGAAAAAGAAAAACTTTCACCATCATTCACTCCATCACTGTCTTGCCAGAAGGGTGCTTTACACTACAGTTTTTAAACTGCAACATTAACACCCCTCCTTCAGAGTGCAGGCACTGTACTTCCCATCTCCAGGACTCAAGTCCGGCCTGCCGGTTTCCCTGAATCCCTTCATCAATGTTACTTTGCTCACACTCCAACAGCACGTCAAGTATTAAAAACCATTTGTCTCCATTCACTCCTATCAAACACGCTCACGCATGCCTGCTGGAAGTCCAAGCCCCTCGCACACAAAACCTCCTTTACCCCCTCCCTCCAACCCTTCCTAGGCCGACCCCTACCCCGCCTTCCTTCCACTACAGACTGATACACTCTTGAAGTCATTCTGTTTCGCTCCATTCTCTCTACATGTCCGAACCACCTCAACAACCCTTCCTCAGCCCTCTGGACAACAGTTTTGGTAATCCCGCACCTCCTCCTAACTTCCAAACTACGAATTCTCTGCATTATATTCACACCACACATTGCCCTCAGACATGACATCTCCACTGCCTCCAGCCTTCTCCTCGCTGCAACATTCATCACCCACGCTTCACACCCATACAAGAGCGTTGGTAAAACTATACTCTCATACATTCCCTCTTTGCCTCCAAGGACAAAGTTCTTTGTCTCCACAGACTCCTAAGTGCACCACTCACTCTTTTTCCCTCATCAATTCTATGATTCACCTCATCTTTCATAGACCCATCCGCTGACACGTCCACTCCCAAATATCTGAATACGTTCACCTCCTCCATACTCTCTCCCTCCAATCTGATATTCAATCTTTCATCACCTAATCTTTTTGTTATCCTCATAACCTTACTCTTTCCTGTATTCACCTTTAATTTTCTTCTTTTGCACACCCTACCAAATTCATCCACCAATCTCTGCAACTTCTCTTCAGAATCTCCCAAGAGCACAGTGTCATCAGCAAAGAGCAGCTGTGACAACTCCCACTTTGTGTGTGATTCTTTATCTTTTAACTCCACGCCTCTTGCCAAGACCCTCGCATTTACTTCTCTTACAACCCCATCTATAAATATATTAAACAACCACGGTGACATCACACATCCCTGTCTAAGGCTTACTTTTACTGGGAAAAAATTTCCCTCTTTCCTACATACTCTAACTTGAGCCTCACTATCCTCGTAAAAACTCTTCACTGCTTTCAGTAACCTACCTCCTACACCATACACTTGCAACATCTGCCACATTGCCCCCTATCCACCCTGTCATACGCCTTTTCCAAATCCATAAATGCCACAAAGACCTCTTTAGCCTTATCTAAATACTGTTCACTTATATGTTTCACTGTAAACACCTGGTCCACACACCCCCTACCTTTCCTAAAGCCTCCTTGTTCATCTGCTATCCTATTCTCCGTCTTACTCTTAATTCTTTCAATTATAACTCTACCATACACTTTACCAGGTACACTCAACAGACTTATCCCCCTATTAATTTTTGCACTCTCTTTTATCCCCTTTGCCTTTATACAAAGGAACTATGCATGCTCTCTGCCAATCCCTAGGTACCTTACCCTCTTCCATACATTTATTAAATAATTGCACCAACCACTCCAAAACTATATCCCCACCTGCTTTTAACATTTCTATCTTTATCCCATCAATCCCGGCTGCCTTACCCCCTTTCATTTTACCTACTGCCTCACAAACTTCCCCCACACTCACAACTGGCTCTTCCTCACTCCTACAAGATGTTATTCCTCCTTGCCCTATACACACACACACACATCCATCTGGGTTTTCTTCTATTTTTTTAATAGTTTTTGTTCATTATTTCTTATCTCCATGGGGAAGTGGAAAAGAATTCTTCTTTCATGAGCCATACATGTCGTAAGAGGCAACTAAAATGCTAGGAACAAGGGGCTAGTGACCCCTTCTCCTGTATAAATTTCTGACTTTAAAAAGAAAAACTTTCAACCCAAAAAAGAAAAGCTTTCGTTTTTCTTTTTGGGTGGGATACGACCGGTTTGTTTAAAACAAAATTTCTAAACCAGAGTACAGACCCTCAATATAACAAGTTGAAGTGGATCATATTTTTTATTATTTACTTAAACATTTGGCATTTAAGAACCCTTAAACCAGATGATGCCATTACTTATTTTACAAAACTACTTTCCTTAATTAACCACTAGTCTCACAAAAATGAGTTACCAGAAACTCTTTCATTCACTTAATTTTTTATTTCCTAAACTTTTAATTTTACTTTTTTTTTTTTGAGGCTCTAGCTATATTTTCTTTACTTGGAGTACCATTAAGCTTTATTTTCTTTTACACCCTTCTTTTTACTTTATTTTATTTATGTATTTTTAATGAAAATTGTGATATTTAAAAATGTGTTTTTTTGTTACAATTTTTGTAGGGCTAAATACTAGCAATCCTACCAGTGCAAAATGTTTAACAGGCTTCCATTATGCAATAACATGACAGGACAGAAATGTACAATACCTCCCTTTTATTTCCTTCAAGGTGGTAAAGCAAACCTCATTGTAAAATTAAAAGGGAGCAACAAGTGGCAGTTGTGGTGGATAGACAAAATGGTTTTACAGTGATCATAATTATAGTAAGTAATTCTGTAACCAACAGACTTTGACCATTGTTTCCAAATCAACTGATCTAGCAGATTTTGCCCCATATTTCTGAAGCCCATTAATTTGAGGTTCATTAAATTGAGAAGTTTAGTGTATTCCTATAGTCAGTCAAGAGTATCCATTTTAGCTTTGAAAGCTCAGCATTACTAAAACCATACTTACCCCATCATATTTACTGTGAAATTCTGGGCATCTCTTGTCTACATTTAATATCGTAATTTTGACAAGAGTAGAGAAAGGGCTCGAGTGAAATGGGGTCCTTCCCCTGGAGTTGGGAGGGCGGTGGAGAAAAGGGACTTTTAGTAAATGTGTATTGTGGGGCTTCATGGAGAGATCTAAGGGAACACAGATCAAATTATTGCAAGGAGGAAAACAATAAATTTATTTTTTGTAAAATTTCTTTTTTAAAAATAAAAGTTGTAATTTAGAAACGGGAATGTTTTTTGAAATGGACGAAAGATATCAGGGGAACCTCAGTTTTATCATTAATTCTTTCCCAAAAGTCTGAAAAAAACCCGAATTCGACGAAAACTGAAGCAATTTTTCCCCATAAGAAAAATGAAAAACCAATTTAAATCCTTTCCTGACACCCAAAAGATTAACAAAAAATAATTTTTAAAAGAATAGCTATATTTTCTACAAAAAAACAATGAGAAAAAAAATTAAAAGGATAATGACAGGGGTTTAAATGAACTTTTAACATCACTTTTCATCTTTATTGAAGCTCTTTTTGACGATGGAAGCGGCGAGGAGGGGAGGGGGAGGAGAGGTTATCTTATTACCATCATTTCCCACGAGGCTTACCAAACACACCACCATCTCCCACAACACTCCCATCCCTACCCCTCACAACCATACCACCTTACCCCACCCACCTCACCCATCACTACCCCTCACCCCCTCATACCCCCCCTCTACTGCCTCACCCACCCTTACTGCCATCACTACCACCCTCACCCCATCACACCACCCCTATACCATCATCCCCACCCTCTATGCATCACTCCCACCCTCTACTGCCATCACACCACCCTTACCACCATCACCCCCACACTACCCCCCCTACCGACGAGAAAAAAAGCCAGACGACCATGTGTGGGATGTTTTGTGTGGGCACGGGCAACACTTTGGTAGGGTGGCCCACGTCAACATATGAAATCTTGGTGATAATGAAACTGGGAAAAATTTTTGAAGAAGTCTCGAAAACCCAAATTAGACGAAAACCAAAGGTAAACGAAAATAAGTTAAACTGTATTGTAATAAACAGGAAATGGATTGAATACTTTAAAGGTGCCCGAAAAAAGCCAAAACCCCCCTACTTACCAAAATGCTTTTATTTATACACAAAAAAAAAAAGTTAAACATACTGAAACTAGAGATCAATAAACCCCAAAAAGCAATATGCTAAAATTTTATTTTCCGGAATAAACTATACTCCAAAAAAATATTATCTATACGAAATATCAAAATATTTTTCTACAAGTATCTTTTTTTTTGGGTTTTCTGAAAGAATAGAGGTAAGAGAGAATTGGGATTGTGGATGGCAAGGAGGTTTTGAGTGGGTAGGGATGTTTGTCAAGGTTTTTACATTGAAGCATATTGTGAACAGTATTTAATAAAGGTGGGAAGGTTTCATTGTTTTTACAGTTTTAAAAAAGGCATTGATATGGATAAAGGAGCAATGTGGAAGTTTTTGCAAGTAGTATATGGAATGGGTAGTAAGTTATTAAATGCTGTAAAAAATTTTTTATGAGGTGTGAGGTCTTAGGGGTGGAGAAGAGAGGGGAATACATCCCGGAAAAAATGTGAAATTGTCACCAGGGTTGTTTAATATATTTATAGAGGGGGTTGTAAAAGAAGTAAATGCTAGGGGTTTTTGGGAAACGGGTGGGATTAAATTATGGGGAATCAAATAAAAAAGGGGAATTGACACAGTTACTTTTTGTTGTGATACTGTGCTTATGGGAGTTTTAAAAAAGAAAAGTTGCAAGTTAGTGGACGATTTTGGGAGGGTGTGTAAAGGTAGAAAGTTGAAATGAACAAGAAGAGAAAAAAGGTGATGGGGGTATAAAATGATTTAATGAAGAAAAATTGGATATAAAAAGGAGGAAGGAGTAGGGAAGAAGTGAATGTTTCAGAATTTGGGATTTGACGTTCAGCAGATGGTTTTTATGAAGGATGGGGTTTAACCCACAGAATTGAGAAAAAAAAAAAAAGGTATGGGCATTGGGAAAATTTGGGGGAGACAAAAAACGTTATTTGGAGGCAAAAAAGGGAATGCATGAAAGTATAGTGGTACCAACACTTTATATGGGCGTGAAGTTTGGGGTTGTAAATGCTGCAGAAAGGGAGGCGGTGGGATGTCCTGTCTAAGGGAAATGTGGGGTTTTAATATTATGCAGAGAATCAGAGTGGGAAATTGAAGGTTTTTGATTTACTAAAAGTATTAGTCAGAGGGCTGAAAAGGGGTTGTTGAGGTGGTTTGGTGTTTGGAAAATAGATAAAGTAGAATGACTTGGGGAGCATTTAAATCTGGGGGAAAGGTGGGGGGGGTCATCCTAAAAAGGTGGGGGGAGGGGTTTAAAGGGGGTTTTGGGAGGGGGGCTTGATTTCAGCAAGTGTATGTGAGGGGTTTAGATACGATGAATGGAGACGAAGGGTATTTGGGACCTGAAGAGTGTTGAAGTGTGAGTAGGTAATTTTTATAAGGGTTTCAGGGAAACTGGTTATTTTTATACGCCAAACTTGAGTACGGAAAGAAAGTAAATGCCTGCACTTTAAAGGAGGGGTAGGTTTGGGCAGTTTGGAGGGATAGTTATTTTCTTTATACGTTTTGGGGTTTAAACTGTTGTATTCTGGGACCTTGCAAAAAACAGTGTTATGTATGGTGAGGTGAAGTGGAATGATGTGAAATTTTTTTCTTTTTGGGGTTTTTCTTTCTCTTTGGGTCCCCCTCCCTCGGGGGGGAGACGGCCGATTTGTAAAAAAAAAATCTAGTTTTTTTTATTATTATTTTATTATTAATATTTTATTTTTATTAGCACACGGGGCCTTTTCCCCACGAAGCAAGTAACCCAAAAAGAAAAAAAACACTTTCATCATTTTATTCCATCACTCTTCCCGAGGTGCACCTACATTTCAGAAACTGAACATATCCCCGCTCCTCTTCAGAGTGCACTGTTTCCCCCATCCCCGGGGACTCACATCCGCTAACCATTTTCCCCTGAACCCCTTTCATAAATTTACCCTGCTCACACTCCAAAGCTCATCAGGTCCCAAAAAACCATTCGTCTCTGTTCACTCCTATCTAAATGCTCACACAGCCAGCTACTGCCAAGCCCTTGAAATAAAACCTCTTTTACTCCCTCTAAAATTTAAAAATTAAAAATCAAGGTTCCTCTAAAATTCTTTTTTGATAAAGGCAGGCTTTTGCAAGTTTAAAGAAAGGTTTTTTCTCCATTTTCAGTACGGGAAATTTATGAGGCCCCCTAGATTAGAGGATGATGATGCCAAAATTCGGACACGATGTAGAAATATAGGCGGAATTGTGCTCAGGGAAAAATTGACTGTGGAGTGGTATGTGGGGTAAAGGTTCGAGTATTTGGGGATGGCATTGATGCAGATCCCGTGATGCTGTGTCAATTTATGAGAAATCTTGCTGTGGGGCTTGTATCAGATGCTGCAGATCTTCCTCATTAGTGACCCAAGAGTTTCCGAAGAACAGAATAGAACATACACTCTCTCTGAATGAACTTTAATCAAAATATATAAAATGTGATGGATGAAAAAAATTTATTACTTCGTAATTGATTAATCTGAGCATGACAGAAATGTTCCAGAGTTTTTAGGTCATGTACTTAGTATTTCTCCAGCAAACTGACAATTATTTAAATTGGAAAAATTTTTTCCCTTTTTGGGTTCACCCCGCCTCAGGGGTACGGCGGGGGGTTGAAAGAAGAAGTTTCGATGTTAAGGGAGCCCCGGAAAAGGGAACCCTCCTCCAAGTGAGTGTAAAAAGAAAGCCTGTATTTTTTTTTCAGATGTAAAATTTAAAAGGGCCTTTTTTCTGTCTCAAAACATGCAAGATTCCAGGTAATCTTGCTATTTATTACATTTAGGGCCACACACATACATGTAATCTATATATACACACCCCCCTGGGTTTCTTATATTTTTTTCCTATTTCTTTTTTTATCTATTTTGCTTCCCTCCAGGGGGGGAGTGAACAGAATTCTTCTCCCTAAGCCCTGCGTGTTTTAAAAGGCGACTAAAATGCCAGGAGCAAGGGGTATTAAAATCCCCCTCCCGCATTAAAAACTAAATTTAAAAGGAGAAACATTTGTTTTTTTTTTTTGGGCTACCCTGCCTTGGGGGGATACAGCGGGTTTGTTGTACAAAAAAAAAAAAAAAAAAAAAGTTTCAGCTGTTGTTTGACAATTTCCCTCAGTTTTTCCCCCAATTCAAATTCAAATTCAAATTCAAAAATTTTTCTTGTAAATATTACAAGCTGGTTTACGAATTTGGGTTATTGTGTGGTTTTCATGTATAAAATAATAATTACAGGTGTACCACTAGAACCAGCATGGCTAGATTTCGGGCAAACTTATATTTAAAACTTAGGTTTAAATGTTCAAAATTTGAGATAAGTTGGTAATTTTGGGTAAGTGACTAAAAATAGTTGTGAGTTTAGCAAAGTGAATGCTTTTGTTTTGGCACATACATAGTTTCAGTTTGGAGTATCAAGGGGCCCAATTATGACTAGTTAAGATTCATTTTTGAGATTGGATTGATATTTTTGTTTATGGCAAATGGGTGGGAGTGAAATGTGAACCACCAGGGGGTTATTTTTTAGTTGAAGGGGTTTTAGGGGGAAAAAGATGTTTTTAGGGGAGTTTTTAAGGTGATGAATGGTCTGCAGTTTTGGAATTTTTTAGGTAGGGTTTTCCCGATTTTAGGGCCTTTTTCATACATTAATTTTTGTAAGGTTTAGTCGGGCACGGGGGGAAGTCCCTAGAGTGTTTGTGTTGGTGTTTTGTGTGGGTTCTGTCACAACTATCAAAAAGCATTTTAGGTCAAGGTTAATATTGGAATTTAAGGGCTGTAGAGTAGTTTCACAGTATTAAATGTGGATTACTGAACAGGGAGTAATTTGTCTATGAAAACTGGGGGGGTTGTTGCCAGGGATGGGATTTGGGGGTTATTTTTATTTCGGCTTTTTGTTGGGGTTTTTATTGGTTTGGTGTGTTCTGCGTTGAACCCCCAAACACAATGCATAGGGGGGTATGGATAAAAATGAAAGGTAAGTGGAAAAAGGGGAGTTTTCGGGAGTAGTAACGTATCTTGGAGAGGATCCCAACCGTTTTGGTACTTTTTTGGTTTTGTGTTGGATATGGGTGTTGGGAAGTTCAGGTGTTGTCAAAGGGATAGGCCTGAATTTGCCCCCTTTGCCCGGTAATTTGAGTGTTGTCGACTTAAAGTTAAAATTTTGGGATCTCCTGCTCTGCTACCAAAAAATAAAAGGGGGTTTTTCAACGTTAAGGGAAGTTTATTGGCTGTCATCCAAGTCGATATTTTGATCAGCTCCTCATTAAAAAAGGTGTTGAGGGTTGCAAGATTAGGGTGGAGATGCATAAATTGTGTCAGCAAAGGAAAAGGGGTTTTAGGTGTCGAGATACGTTTGGAGATCATTAAAGTATATAGGGGAAAAGCAGGGGACCAAAGGCACTTCCTGTGGGAAATCCATATCAAGTGGGGTGTGTTTTGATGCTGTGTCTTTAAAGGTGACTACTGATACCTATTAGTAAGGTAAAATTTGAAAAATGCAAAGAGGCCCTTATAAAAATAATGGTCAAAGTTTGGGAGTAGGAGGTGTGGTCTACTGTGTCAAAAGCTTTTCTTAGGCAATAAAAATTCCCTTTGGGTTTCTTATTTTTCCATGCTGTGTAAAACGATCTAGCATTTTTATATTTGCCCCTTTGTGCTTTTATTTTTCCTGAATCCAAAATTGGGAGGGGTTGAGTAGTTTTTTGACGTTTTTAAATGAATATAGCCCTGGCACAAGTTTTTCAAGATTTTGGATAGCAAGGTAAGTTTGATATTGGCCCATAGTTGTTTAAATCTGTAGGGGCACCCCCTTTTTGTATTGGGGTAACGCTTACCGTCTTTTTTTGTTTCGGGAAGGGCACTTCTAGTGCTTGTTTTTAAAAGCAAAGGATGCATGCGAGAGGACATGGGCCACTCTCTTGTACAAAAATGGTGGGACATGAGCAGTTCCCCCAGTTATTTTTTAAATGACTTTATAATCTCGGGACTTTCCCTGGGCTAGTTTGGGGAAAAATAGAAAGGGAAATTTGGAAATTTTTCCTCTAGGTAGTCCCCCGGCATGGGGATTGGTAGTGGGATTTTTGGGAGATTGAAACCCTTTGGGTTTAGAAAAAGTCGTTTATTTGTTAGCTGTGTGGGGGTTCAGGGTGTTTCATTAGTTTAGTTAGGGCAAATTCTTTTTTTTTCAGTTTGTGGTCCCCGAATCTAGTGTTTTCAGGTCTTTTTAACTGTACTCCCCTTTTTGTCAGGAATCTACTGGAGTAGTTAGTTGTTTGGGTTTCTTTTTTTACTTGGTGAGGATGATATAGTTTTTAAGAATACCTTTGGTTAAACCCCTTTATATTGCTTTTCATATTGGTGTTTCTTTATCAATGGATTTCAGAATGGTGCTGGTTTTGCATGGGCAACCAAGCCCTTTGTTTGTGACTGTTTTGTTTTTTTTTAGGACAAAGTTTGTTTATAGTCAAGAGTTTTTAAGAAAAATGTCTGTCCAGTCGTCAAAACCATTGGCCCTTTGGGGAATTTGTAGGGCCCGTCAACAGTCTCTAGGTCAGCTGTGAACTTCCTTATTTAGGCCTATCATGGAGTCAAAAAGGAAATTTGTTTTTATTCAATGGGGTTTACTAATGTTTGTCAAGAGGAAGGTAGGGTATGGTCTTTTATCTTGATTATCCCTGATTTAAGGGGGCTAGATATTGGGGCCATTGTGGGCTATTATGGTTGCACTTGTTTCAGTGAGCCTGGTTTGGTTAGTTATTGTTGGTATGGAAGTGTGTTGTTCATATTTTTGATGAAAACGTTTAAAGGGACCTAGTAGGCCAAAGGGTTTATGTTGAAGTTCCAGCTAAGGAAGGGGTGTTATTCATTTGTTGTTTTTTTTTTAGTGCCCTTTAAATTTTCACTGAAGTTTGGGATGTATGTGGGGTATCCGGTAAATGGCACCCATTGTTTAGGCGTTTAAGGTTTTTTACATTTAAAAATTTGCAAAAAGTGTTCTCCATATTCCACTAAGCAATGGTGCTGTACAAGAAAAAATTGGTTTGGAACAGATTGCAATATCTGTAGCATTAAGGTAACAGATTGCAATACTCTGAGAGTTAAATGAACAGACTTTTGTTAAAATTTTTTCATAATCCTAGGGTTAAAATTTAAAAAAATTTTTGCTAAATTTTTTTTTATTTATAATAAAAAAAGGTACAAATTTAATCCAGCTTATTCTAATTCTTTCCTAGCACTGTTCACCTCCCATATTAGTTAGTACTCAAAGTAAAGATTCTTTAAAATTTCTGTAAACAATATTTTTAAATTAGCTATTTTGAAAATTTTTTTGTTTTTTAAAATGTAGCAATAGTTAATTGTGTGTTTAAGCGTAAGCAAATTTGAGCTCTCACGAATGTTGTTTTGTAAGGTTCACATGCCTCATAAGTAGCATTGATTTCTTCCAGAAGAAGATTAACAAGTGGTTTCTCTCTCTCTCCAACATCCCCTCGGAGCTCAACACACATGTTTGGTACAGAAAAAGATCCTGTAATAATTAGTAAATTTAAACATACCAAAAATATTTTTTACTATACAGGGTATCCACAAAAACACTCCCTGATTTGAAATAGGTATAACATGTAACTTTATTGTAATAATCTTTCACAATTAGTAGCTTCAGATGCAGGATTTCATTCAGGTTCATGTGGTATAGGGTAGTATTAAAGACACTCAATGTGTATAGGTAGCAGGTCGGTAGACAGCAACCACCCAGGGAAGTACTACCGTCCTGCCAGATGACTGTGAAACAGAAACCTGTAACTGTTTTGCATGATGGTAGGATTGCTGTTTTCTTTTTCTGTCTCATAAACACGCTAGATAACGGATATCTTGCTACTCCTACTTACACTTTGGTCACACTTCACAGACACGCACATGCATATATATATACATACATCTAGGTTTTTCTCCTTTTTCTAAATAGCTCTTGTTCTTCTTTATTTCTTCTATTGTCCATGGGGAAGTGGAAAAGAATCTTTCCTCCGTAAGCCATGCGTGTCGTATGAGGCGACTAAAATGCCGGAAGCAATGGGCTAGTAACCCCTTCTCCTGTAGACATTTACTAAAAAAAAGAAGAAAAACTTCATAAAACTGGGATGCTTAAATGTGCGTGGATGTAGTGCGGATGACAAGAAACAGATGATTGCTGATGTTATGAATGAAAAGAAGTTGGATGTCCTGGCCCTAAGCGAAACAAAGCTGAAGGGGGTAGGGGAGTTTCAGTGGGGGGAAATAAATGGGATTAAATCTGGAGTATCTGAGAGAGTTAGAGCAAAGGAAGGGGTAGCAGTAATGTTGAATGATCAGTTATGGAAGGAGAAAAGAGAATATGAATGTGTAAATTCAAGAATTATGTGGATTAAAGTAAAGGTTGGATGCGAGAAGTGGGTCATAATAAGCGTGTATGCACCTGGAGAAGAGAGGAATGCAGAGGAGAGAGAGAGATTTTTGGGAGATGTTAAGTGAATGTATAGGAGCCTTTGAACCAAGTGAGAGAGTAATTGTGGTAGGGGACCTGAATGCTAAAGTAGGAGAAACTTTTAGAGAGGGTGTGGTAGGTAAGTTTGGGGTGCCAGGTGTAAATGATAATGGGAGCCCTTTGATTGAACTTTGTATAGAAAGCGGTTTAGTTATAGGTAATACATATTTTAAGAAAAAGAGGATAAATAAGTATACAAGATATGATGTAGGGCGAAATGACAGTAGTTTGTTGGATTATGTATTGGTAGATAAACGACTGTTGAGTAGACTTCAGGATGTACATGTTTATAGAGGGGCCACAGATATATCAGATCACTTTCTAGTTGTAGCTACACTGAGAGTAAAAGGTAGATGGTATACAAGGAGAATAGAAGTATCAGGGAAGAGAGAGGTGAAGGTTTATAAACTAAAAGAGGAGGCAGTTAGGGTAAGATATAAACAGCTATTGGAGGATAGATGGGCTAATGAGAGCATAGGCAATGGGGTCGAAGAGATATGGGGTAGGTTTAAAAATGTAGTGTTAGAGTGTTCAGCAGAAGTTTGTGGTTACAGGAAAGTGGGTGCGGGAGGGAAGAGGAGTGATATTGGTGGAATGATGATGTAAAGAGAGTAGTAAGGGAGAAAAAGTTAGCATATGAGAAGTTTTTACAAAGTAGAAGTGATGCAAGAAGGGAAGAGTATATGGAGAAAAAGAGAGAGGTTAAGAGAGTGGTGAAGCAATGTAAAAAGAGAGCAAATGAGAGAGTGGGTGAGATGTTATCAACAAATTTTGTTGAAAATAAGAAAAAGTTTTTCAGTGAGATTAACAAGTTAAGAAAGCCTAGAGAACAAATGGATTTGTCAGTTAAAAATAGGAGAGGAGAGTTATTAAATGGAGAGTTAGAGGTATTGGGAAGATGGAGGGAATATTTTGAGGAATTGTTAAATGTTGATGAAGATAGGGAAGCTGTGATTTCGTGTATAGGACAAGGAGGAATAACATCTTGTAGGAGTGAGGAAGAGCCAGTTGTGAGTGTGGGGGAAGTTCGTGAGGCAGTAGGTAAAATGAAAGGGGTAAGGCAGCTGGGATTGATGGATAAAGATAGAAATGTTAAAAGCAGGTGGGGATATAGTTTTTGGAGTGGTTGGTGCAATTATTTAATAAATGTATGGAAGAGGGTAAGGTACCTAGGGATTGGCAGAGAGCATGCATAGTTCCTTTGTATAAAGGCAAAGGGGATAAAAGAGAGTGCAAAAATTATAGGGGGATAAGTCTGCTGAGTATACCTGATAAAGTGTATGGTAGAGTTATTATTGAAAGAATTAAGAGTAAGACGGAGAATAGGATAGCAGATGAACAAGGAGGCTTTAGGAAAGGTAGGGGGTGTGTGGACCAGGTGTTTACAGTGAAACATATAAGTGAACAGTATTTAGATAAGGCTAAAGAGTAAAGAGGTCTTTGTGGCATTTATGGATTTGGAAAAGGCATATGACAGGGTGGATAGGGGGGCAATGTGGCAGATGTTGCAAGTGTATGGTGTAGGAGGTAGGTTACTGAAAGCAGTGAAGAGTTTTTACGAGGATAGTGAGGCTCAAGTTAGAGTATATAGGAAAGAGGGAAATTTTTTCCCAGTAAAAGTAGGCCTTAGACAAGGATGTGTGATGTCACCGTGGTTGTTTAATATATTTATAGATGGGGTTGTAAGAGAAGTAAATGCGAGGGTCTTGGCAAGAGGCGTGGAGTTAAAAGATAAAGAATCACACACAAAGTGGAGTTGTCACAGCTGCTCTTTGCTGATGACACTGTGCTCTTGGGAGATTCTGAGAGAAGTTGAAGAGATTGGTGGATGAATTTGGTAGGGTGTGCAAAAGAAGAAAATTAAAGGTGAATACAGGAAAGAGTAAGGTTATGAGGATAACAAAAAGATTAGGTGATGAAAGCTTGAATATCAGATTGGAGGAGAGAGTATGGAGGAGGTGAATGTATTCAGATATTTGGGAGTGGACGTGTCAGCGGATGGGTCTATGAAAGATGAGGTGAATCATAGAATTGATGAGGGGAAAAGAGTGAGTGGTGCACTTAGGAGTCTGTGGAGACAAGAACTTTGTCCTTGGAGGCAAAGAGGGAATGTATGAGAGTATAGTTTTACCAACGCTCTTATATGGGTGTGAACATGGGTGATGAATGTTGCAGGCGAGGAGAAGGCTGGAGGCAGTGGAGATGTCATGTCTGAGGGCAATGTGTGGTGTGAATATAATGCAGAGAATTCGTAGTTTGGAAGTTAGGAGGAGGTGCGGGATTACCAAAACTGTTGTCCAGAGGGCTGAGGAAGGGTTGTTGAGGTGGTTTCGGACATGTAGAGAGAATGGAGCGAAACAGAATGACTTCAAGAGTGTATCAGTCTGTAGTGGAAGGAAGGGGGGGTAGGGGTCGGCCTAGGAAAGGTTGGAGGGAGGGGGTAAAGGAGGTTTTGTGTGCGAGGGGCTTGGACTTCCAGCAGGCATGCGTGAGCGTGTTTGATAGGAGTGAATGGAGACAAATGGTTTTTAATACTTGACGTGCTGTTGGAGTGTGAGCAAAGTAACATTTATGAAGGGGTTCAGGGAAACCGGCAGGCCGGACTTGAGTCCTGGAGATGGGAAGTACAGTGCCTGCACTCTGAAGGAGGGGTGTTAATGTTGCAGTTTAAAAACTGTAGTGTAAAGCACCCTTCTGGCAAGACAGTGATGGAGTGAATGATGGTGAAAGTTTTTCTTTTTCGGGCCACCCTGCCTTGGTGGGAATTGGCCCGTGTGATAATAAAAAAAAAAAAAAAATGTGTACCCCTCTGGTTGCTCGGCAAACATCAGTACGATAGTCCAGTTCGGTCTAGACGCTCTGCAGCATATCTGGTGTTATCATGCGAACTGCTTTAGTAATCAAAATTTTCAGCTCCTCCAGGGCTGCAGGTAGTGGTGGTACGTAAACTGTGCTCTTCATGTACCCTCAAAGAAAGAAGTCACAAACAGTTATGTCCGGTGACCTCGGAGGCCACTTGCAGAGGTCACCGGACCTAACTGTTTGTGACTCTCTTTGGGGGTACGTGAAGAGCACAGTTTACGTACCACCACTACTTGCAACCCTAAAGAAGCTGAAAATTTCAATCACTGAAGCAGTTTGCATGATAACACCAGATATGCTGCAGAGTGTCTGGACCGAACTGGGCTATCGTACTGATGTTTGCCGAGCAACCAGAGGGGTACACATTGAGTGTCTTTAATACTACCCTATACCACATGAACCTGAATGAAATCCTGCTTCTGAAGCTAGTAACTGTGAAAGATTATAACACAAAGGTTATATGTCATACCTGTTTGAAATCAGGGAGTGTTTTTGTGGATACCCTGTACTCTAAACTAAACAAAAAAATTCATTAAAGTTCCAGGAAAACTTTACATATTCAATACACAGGTAAATAGTCAAAAATACAGATTTAGAAATATTTGTTTTTCCCAATCTCTCTTCATCTGTACTGTGAACACCTGTGTGGCTACTAATCCAATGTTTATTCTTTAATTTTCCTCCAGCACTTTTAAAATCTTTTCATTGTTATTTTCTGTTACTTCTGACCCTCATAATTACATCTAATAAGAGATCTCTATCAATTAATGGGTGTACTATTGTGTAACACATTCATGTTTCACACACACAATATCAAGAAAAATATTAAATACTCTGAAAACCTGATAAAGGCCTAGTGACCTTGATAAATTTATGTACGTGCTGCATTTGCTGTACTATAATATTTTGCAACTCAAATTTTTCTAGGTTATTTTATTAAAAATGAATGTAAAATATACCCCAACATGCTGCATAAATGTAATGCATTAATCTTGAAAAACCTACAATAGGGTATTTCTAATGCTACTCTACAATTTAATTTTGGAGACAAGCACATACAACAATCAGACCTCGCTGTCCCTTCTGATCACCTGCTTAAGGCTTTTGTAAAGAGGAGATCCATGCAAAACATGTCTATCTCAGCAAGATATATACAAGTTTCCACTCAACTAAAACTACAGCCTCTCCTCACTTAGCGACCGGCATGGTCTTAGAAACGAAACTCCATCATTAAGTGAGGAGAGGCTGTAATTAAAGTTATAATCCTTTTCTTTCTTTTTTCGTCACTCCATCTTGGTGGGAAACAGCCAACGTGCTGAAAAAAAAAAATCCTTAGACTATTTAATCCATAGTACAGTGGTACCCCAAGTTTCGGCCATAATTCGTTCCAGAAGGCTGCTCGAGTGTTGTAACCAAATGAATCTGTTCCCATAAGGAATAATGTAAATTAGATTAGTCCATTTCAGACCCCCAAAAATACACCTACAAAAGCACTTACAATACACTTACATAATTGTTCGAGTTGGGAGCTGTACGGAACTTGGGGTACCACTGTATATTCCACCAGTCTGGATTTGTTAGATACACAATATATATCTTTGATATACCTTTGATGAGTTTCGAGTCTTACTACTCCCGGAGCCCCACCAAGGACCTGGCTCATCTGGTGCTCGACTGGTATCTGGGTCTTGTTCATAAGTCGAAGTCTTTTCAGATTATTTCATCAATCTAAATAATTTTTTTTTAGATACTTCTTTGTCACTATGTGGTCTTTCATAATCAATTTAGAAAGTTTCTGCATTTCTTTTCATCCTTTCATCAATGTATTGAAACCTCTTTGATCTGCAACTTTGGAACAGTAAAACAAAAAAGTTCTTTCCTCAGTGTTTTGCTACCCTTCATAGCAAACTATACAGAGCTAGATAAATAAAATAACATTCATCATTAAAAATTTTCCCTTTCTGGTAAAAAGGTACTTGGTTTTTATTTGCAATGCAACAGAGAAGATGGAAGATGAAGCTGTTTTCACCTTTGAATAGTGGACGGTGGAGCCACAGCATAACTATAATTATTAATACTTTATTTTGTGAGGTGTTAAACATGCATGGTCATTCAGTGCAAGCAGCAATGGAAGCTGCATCCTCTGTCCAAAGGTATTCTCTGAACACTTATGACAAATATAAAAAAAAACACTAAACTTTTTTTTTTTTTTTTAACATGCTGGCCATCTCCCAACAAAGCAGGGCAACCCGAAAAAGAAATAGGATTTTTATCCTAAAACGTACCTTTCACTGCAATTGGGGCTGCATCTTTCTCAAATGATGCCTGAGCATTCTCTGATCGCTGCACTTTTTCTGATGCAACACCAGAACCCTCCTCATGAGCACAGCCTAAGAGATAAGAGTACAGTATAGCATCAATCAATCAATTACATACTTTATTTCCACATGTGTATAAATCTGTAGTGGAGGAAAGGTAGTGTTGGGGTCATTCTAGGAAAGGATGGAGGGGGCAAAGGAAGTTTTGTGTGCAAGGGGCTTGGACATACAGCAGGCATGTGTGAGCATGTTAGTTAGGAGTGAGTGGAGACAAATGATTTTTATGAGGAAGTGGAATGACCTCAACAAAGAAGTGGTAGGGACAGGCTCCATACATAATTTTAAAAGCAGGTATGACAGGATCCATGAAGCTAGGAGGGAGTGACTGGCATGTAGCAGATTGAGAGGTGGGTAGCCAAGAGTTACGACTCAACCCCCAGCAAAAACAAACAGGTAAGTACTTACAGGCGAGTACTCATGACACTTATAGAGTGCAGCTGTATTCAAAATGGGTGGGATGGTAGCTGTGTGGAAAAGGACAGTGTGACTTTCCATAGGTCCAAGTGGGTTTGAGAGGAAAAATCACAAAGCACAAAATATCATTAACTCTTTCACTGTCCAGACCCCCAATCTGAAACTTGTCCACAGTGTCCAAGAATTTTCATAAAAAATTAATTTTTTCTCATGAATTGGTAGAGTCTTTTTTTTTTGAAGGTAATAAAACAAAAAGTATGAAACTTGATCGAAAATTGGCAAAATTACACTTTCCCGAATTTAGTTGTGTCAGCAATATTTATGCAACGATAATTTAGCCCACTTTGAATCCTATTTTGGGCCAATTACATTGTTCCAGTCGACCAAGCTGTTAGCTATTTTGCTAGTATGTTTTTCATTTCATCGATTGAGCACAATAAATAGCCCAATCAACTATTTTAACTACCCAATAAAGTAATCAAAAATTAGTAATTTGGCCAATTTCACAAAAATTTAAAAATATTCCAATTTCAAAATAGGGTCCAGAATAAATAATGCAGGCATTCCTGGTACTAAAATAACATTTCCTCTGTTCATTAATTATGTTCCCTGGGTTTACACATGAATTCTTTTTCATTTTTTATTCACATAAAGAATTTTTATTCACACAAAAACATAGAAGACTGTAATAATTGTATAAATAACATCAGCACATTCATGAACACATATCAGACTCACCAGCTGATGTGCACTGGATGCATGACGTAATTTGTTTACTCTTCAACAATGGCAATAATTGAACATTTCTGCTACTTTGAGATCAATTTCAAGCTACTTTCACTCCTAAAACCAAACAAAATCATCTCTATTTTTGTAATATATCTTCCATTTTATCAAATAACACCAAGAAACTGAGAACACAACCATAAAAACCATACGAAAATACACTGCAAACTTGCTGCTTTAAACCCAAAACACGGTCACAGTTTTTTCTCATTATGCACTGCGTGGTGCAGGATTTTTTATATGGTGCACACTTACTACATCGACCCATTCTCTCTTATCTAAGCCCCAATTTACCACTCACAGCTTATCTGAGTGAGCTGGGCTCATCACGTAGGACTACGGTACGGCCAGTGAACTAAAAGGTGTAGCACTACGGCACAGTCAGCAAAAGGTTAATTTGCACACAAACTGATCCTATGCCATTTCTTTCACACTTTAAGAATTGCAATATCATTCATTTTCAAACACTAAATTCTTGGTTGCATTTTTATAATGTTAAGACAAAATCTGTATATCCAGTCATATATAGAGGCTAAAACAGTTAAATAAAATCTATAAAAGTTCAAGTGAATTATTTTTTATAGCTATAAAACACTGTTAAAAAATGCCAATGGTTAATATGCAGATCTGTAATTTTATCTCGTACATACACAGAACTTCATACCAAGGCACACAGAGCACTAATATAACAGAAAAAGTTGAAGCCAAATAAAGCAAAAGGCACACTCACTGAAACTTTGTCGATCTGGTGCTTGTTCCATGTCAGTGAATGACAGGTTGGATAAGGTCCTCACAAACTGTCTATAGTGCTGACGAGAAACACTAATTTTCAGTGGAGTTATAATACCGCCATCAATCTGTAAATAGAATATCCAATAGAGGGTTTAATAATGGGCGTGAGCACTACCCCAGCTTCATGAGCAACATAACCATTACATGACCCATTACATGTCCAAGTCAGACCGAAATGTTGTCGTTAGCTCCTCTCTTCTATGTGCGGGTTATTTGTGTATGGTATCTAAGATTAGCACAAACAATACTGTACACTGGAATTTGACAATACAGGTGCTCCCCGACTTAAGATGGAACAATTTATAATATTTCGACTTTATGATGGTGCAAAAGCAATTACAGTGGTACCTTGACTTACAAGTGCCCTAACTTACGAGTTTTCCAAGTTATGAGCTGTCACTCGGTCGATTTTTTGCTTTGAGTTGCGAGCCAAAATCTGAGTTATGAGCATGTTTCAGATACGCCACCACTTGCAGGAGTTACCAAAGAAATATCAAAAGCCTTGATAATAACCAATGAGTAACATCCTTTCAATTTCGATACCACTGGTAGTGTCATCCTGCCAGAATGTTCTATAATGTATTCCCTAAGTAAAACAATTCTGGAACGTGTAATACATGTCCGACAGGTCGGCTGGTTGGGTGGCCAGCTGGCTGGCCAGCTGGCTGGCTGGCGACTGACTGATTTGCTTTGGCTGTCTATCTCCTTCTGTCTGTCTGTAGTATTTATCTCTGTCTCTGTATCTCTATCTCTGCCTTGCTCTCTGTCTATCTCTGCCTTTTTCTGTCTCTATCTCTGATATATTAGACACATGTGCAACTCTTGGGTATCTTTATTGAGGAAACGTTTCACCACACAGTGGCTTCATCAGTCCATACAAAGGAGAAACGTGAAGAACAGAAGGAGAATGAGGTAATCGGTCCCTCAACTTTGAGACAATGTAGTCAGTCCATCAATTCAGCTTATATACCGTAGGCAGGAGAGGTGCAGCAGTCGTAGGTGGTGTCACATTTATCCAATGTGGAAGTAGGTCATCCCCAAGGGTTAGGCAAGCGAAGAATTCCCAAGTATTAAGATCCCAGGAAGTTGCAGTGTCTGACAGGATTGTGGATGAATGGTTCAGAGAACCGGCACGTTGATAAATTAGACACATGTGCAACTCTTGGGTATCTTCATTGAGGTGTCAGTTCTCTGAACCACTCATCTACAATCCTGTCAGACATTGCAACTTCCTGGGATCTTAATACATGTACTTGAGAATTCTTTGCTTGCCTAACCCTTGGGCACGACCTACTTCCACACTAGATAAATGTGACACCGCTTACGACTGCTGCACCTCTCCTGCCTACAGTATATAAGCTACTTCTCCACAGATATGCTGTATTCTATTCAAGATTTATGGATTGACTACATCGTCTCAAGGTTGAGGGACTGATTACCTCATTCTCCTCCTGTTCTTCACGTTTCTCCTTTGTATGGACTGATGAAGCCACTGTGTGGCGAAACGTTTCCTCAATAAAGATACCCAAGAGTTGCACATGTGTCTAATTTATCAACGTGTCGGTTCTCTGAACCATTCATCTACAAGTCTGTATCTCTGTCTCTGCCTCTGTCTCTCTCTGCCTCTGCTTATCTCTGCCTCTGCTTATCTCTGCCTGTCTCTCTCTGCCTCTGTCTATCTCCGCCTCCGTCTCTCTCCACCTCTATCTCCGCCTCCGTCTATCTCTGCCTCCGTCTATCTCCGTCTCTGTCTATCTCCGTCTCCGTCTATCTCCGTCTCCGTCTATCTCCGTCTCCGTCTATCTCCGTCTCCGTCTATCTCCGTCTCCGTCTATCTCCGTCTCCGTCTATCTCCGTCTCCGTCTATCTCCGTCTCCGTCTATCTCCGTCTCCGTCTATCTCCGTCTCCGTCTATCTCCGTCTCCATCTACTCCATCTCCGTCTCCGTCTATCTCCGTCTCTGTCTATCTCCGTCTCTGTCTATCTCCGTCTCTGTCTCACAGGTACACAAATACAGTTATACATGGTGTAAATTACGTAGGATAACCAAAAAATCTAAAAGTGCTATACTACTATGCTTGTAGATGTAAGGCATAATAAGCATGACTGGCAAGTAATACACATTTTCACTTGTTCAGGAATCAGATGTGACAACTTGAAGCAGTACGAGCGTAGTACTTCAAGCCTCGTGCCTTCTCACAGAAAAGGCACGTGGCATTTATGCTGATTTACTTCTGAGATATTCACTCAAAACGTAGGCAGGTCTCCTGACTCGGGAAAAAAAAACTCCGAAAAAATCACTTTCGTTTCTCTTTTTTCCTTATGAAGTAAGTGATCTAGTGCAGTTAGCCTCACAAACACTCCATTTTCTCTTATACTAACACCTCAGAAGGGCAAGAATGGGAAGATATGGACAGAGCAATAATTATTTTTACCTCGGGAGAGGCCACCACCACTTGTCACATAATGATATTTTATTCATTCTAGAGTATATATCATGTTTCTATGTTACTTATATTGTTTATTATGTCATATTAGGTCACTTGTGATAGATAAATAAGCCATAGAGTTTATATTAGTGTTATTGGAGTGGTTTTTTGGGGGCTGGAAAGGATTAATGGTATTTCAATTAATTTCAATGAGGAAAATTTATTTGATATACAAGCAAATTGAGTTACAAGCTCGGTCACGGAATAAATTAAACTCATAAGTCAAGGTACCACTGTATATTTTGGAGATGAAACTTTAGCTAATTACCCAGAATGAAGGCAGTAAGTCAGTAACATGTATACATTTTTATTTTCAATACTGGTATTTAGTTATTTACAGCTATTATTTATTGACTTATTTATTTAGCATATTACTATTCGACTAATGATTTTTTCAACTTACAATGGGTTCACAGGAATATGACCCCATCATAAGTCAAGAAGCACCTGTACTAGCACAATATACACTATATTTACAGATGTCAACAAGAAAAGAAAGAAAACAAAACTAGAGAACAGGTATTGTTCCCTCAAATTTTTTTCTGTGCAGAATAAATTTTATCACATACATACATAATTTACATTGGAATGTTTGCAATGTTCATACTGTAGCTGCAGCTTGGTGTTCATAAAAAATTAGTGCCAAAGTGTCCCATTCATAAGAGGGAAAGTTCCTAACACTAGTGTTCATAAGTTGAGGCTCTACAGCATACTTAGCATACTGTGAATTTAATTTATTTATAATACCCTGAAAACGATATTCAAATACTCCATTCAGCAAGAGGCTGCCAAACAAAGTGGTTGCTTGAATTCAACCCTAACACATGCATGAAGGTTAATCCTTTCACTGTCGGTGCCATAGTACTACGGCTTGCAAGCCAGTGTTGGTGCCGTAGTACTACGCCAAAATTCTAGCGGCTTCAAATCTGGTGGAAGAAAGCTGGTAAACCTACATACGAGAGAATGGGTCTGAGTGATCAGTGTGCACAGTATAAAAAAATCCTGCAGCACACAGTGCATAATGAGAAAAAAACCTGACTGTTTTTGGTTTAAAACACTGATTTTGCAGCGTATTTTTGTATGGTATTTATGGTCGTATTCTTGTTTTCTTGGTCTCATTTGACAGAATGGAAGATATATTACAGAAATAGACATGATTCTGAATGGTTTTCAGACTAAAAGTACTTTGAAATTGAGCTCAAAGTAGTGGAAATGTTCAATTTTTGCCAATGTTCAAGAGTAAGCAAATTACACCATGCATCCAATACAATTCAAGTGGCAGGTCTAATATTTTTTCACAAATGCAATGATACTACTTATACATTTTTACAATAATGCAGTATTCTGAATAACATTAAATCTTCTATTTTTTTGTGTGAATAAAAATTCAAAATGGCAAGCAAACATACTATAAGAGGGGCCTGGAGACGTGACTAATGAACAGAGAAAATGTTACTTTAGCATTAGGAATGTCTGCCACTATTCTGGCCACTATTGTGAAATTGGCCTTACTTGAATTGTGTATAAAACTGACCAAATTACCAATTTCTGATCACTTTAGTGGGTAGTTGAAATCGGTAAATGGGCAGTTTCTTGTACTCATTAATTTCTTGTACTCCAATAGCTATGAGTTTGGTCAACTGGAACAATGGAATTGGCAAAAAATAGGGCTCAAAGTGGGCAAAATCACAGATGCATAAATATCGCTGAGACCGCTAACTTTGTGAGAGCGTAATTCCATAAGTTTTCCATCAAATTTCATACTTTTGGTGTCATTGCCATCGGGAAAAGATTCTCTATCATTTCATAAGATTTTTTTTTTTTTTAAATCCTTTGACACTGAGAGCAAGTTTGTGAGCAGGGGTCTCGACAGTGAAGGGGTTAAGGAAGGGGACACACGACTAGACACAGTGTATAGTCTCAGGGGACAGAGGTTGCAAACCTCAAAGAGAAAGACCTACGAATGAGTGTAGTGTCTAGCATTTCACCAGAGGCTCACATCAACCGAATAACCTCTACAGCCAATGCCTGCATGGCAAATCTATGAGTGGCCTTCAGGAATCTCAACAAAGAGTTTTTCTGGAAACTTTATACAACATATTTCAGGCCCATTTTGGTGTACACAGAACCAGTATGGAAGCTACACCTGAGTAAGCACATTAACCCTTTCAGGGTCCGTCCCGTAGATCTACGGCTTTACGGTGAGTGTCCAAACCGTAGATCTACGCCATGAGCTCAGCTCACTCTGATAAACTATGAGTGGTACATTTGGGCCTAGATATGAGAGAATACATCTATGTGGTATGTGTGCACCACATAAAACAGATCCTGCAGCACACTGTGTATAATGAGAGAAAAAAACTGAAATCATGATTTTTCGATTAAAACAGCGACTTTGCACTGTTTTTTCGTATGTTTTTTATAGTTGTATTTGCGATTTCTTGGTCTCATTTGATAGAATGGAAGACATATTACAGAAATAGAGATGATTTTGATTGGTTTTAGCACTGGAAATGGCTTGAAACTGAGCTCAAAGTAGCGGAAATGTTAAATTTTTGCCGATATTCAAGAGTAAACAAACGACCTCACACATCTAATACACGTCAGCTGGTGGGTCTAATATACATTCACAAATATGGTGATGATATTTATACAATTATTACAGTATTGCATAACAGTAAATCTTCTATTTTTTGGTGTGAATAAAAATTCATTATGTGAATAAAAAATCAAAATGGAATTTATTTGTAAAGCCTCAAAATATAACTAATGAACAGAGGAAATGTTAGTTTAGTTCCAGGAATACCTACATTGTTTATTCTGGAGCCTATTTTGAAATTGGAATATTTTGAACTTTGTGTTAAATTGGCCAAATTAACAATTTCCGATCACTTTATTTTGTAGTTTAAACAGTTGACTTGGCGATTTCTTGTGCTCAATCGATAGAATAGAAGTAATTCTAGTGAAACAGCTAAGAATTTGGTTGATTGGAATAATGTAATTGGCCTAAAATGGGAGTCAAAGTCGGCAAAATCGCCGATTCGTAAATATCGCTGACACATCAAAATTCGCGAGAGCATAATTTCGTCAATTTTCCAACAAATTTCGTACTTTTTGTTTTATTACCTTCACAAAAAGATTCTCTACGATTTCATAAGAAAAAATAAAAAAAATTTTTTTTGAAAATTCTTGGACACTGGGGCACCACTTCAGATTTGGGCCTTGGACCCTGAAAGGGTTAAAAAACTGGACAAAGTGCAGAAGTACACAACATAGCCTGCTCCCGAGTTAAGGGGCATGAGCTATAAGGAAAGGCTAACAGAACTGAATCTAACAACACTGGAGGATAGAAGAGCCAGGGGAGACATAACATACAAATTACTGAGGAGAATTTATAACATAAATAGGGACAGGCTGTTTAAATGGTGAGAAATGGGTACTCAAGTACACCTGGAAATTACAGACACAAATGAGCCACAGGGATGCCAGGAAATACTTCTTCACTCTCTGGATGATCAGAAAGTGTATGGATGAATCTCTTTGAAGAAGTGTCTGAGGCAGACTCCAATAATGGCTTTAAGATCAGGTATGATAAGACCCATAAGGCTAGGAAGGAGTGAATCTGGCAAGCAGCAACTTGAGAGGTGGAGCCAGAAGCTAAGACTTAACCCCTGCAGCCACATGTCGGTGAATACACATAGGTAAGTACTTATAAAATAATTTATTTTCTCTTATTACTTCAAACAAGCACTCTGAAACAATAGTCAAATCAGTTACACAGCAATGCCTTGTTCATTTTAATTTTTAAAAGAAGTTGTTAATCTCTTTTAAACACTTACAGAAGTAAAGACTGGAGAGAAATGTTATAAAATACTTACATAATGGAAACAGCACAAATGCAGTGTACTGAGATTCTTTATTACCGTAACTTTTCACCCATGCAGTAACTTAGGAAAGTCCAGTGTATGGGCAAGTCAACAAAAGTTTTCATTATATATCATTCTTGTCCCTTGTTTCTAGAAATTAAGTACTGTCTGACACCCTTTATACAGAGGGCAACAACTTAGTCAGTTTTACCTTTTAATTTTGCTTACATCCATAACCTTGAATTACTTACCTGGACACAGTCACGAGATGGAGGATGATCAAGATCTACGAAGATATCGTTGGGAAAGTAGAGGCCTGAGTCATGGTCTGCCAGAAGAAAAGCTCCTTGCTCATATTTCAGCCCTATCTCTAGAGTAGTGTTATGCAATATAGGATGACCATGATCCTGGCAGCTATACAGCTCCTCAGCACACATCACTCTCGTTGACAATGGACTGTAGCATGAAAAATTTATATTATATACTGTTCTATCTGTCAGTCTGTCTTTGCCTGTTTGTCTTTGTTTTTGTCTTTGTCTGTCTATCAGTGTCTTCATTAGCAGTGGTCATGGGAGTGGCAATACTGATATAATTTTATTTCCACCAATATAATTTTAAGGTGCTAAAACCTAAAAAATACTATTTGTAATAACAAGCAGTAGCTAAATTTACTGAGAGAAAATTCTACAATAGCAATATTTACAACTTTAATTTTTGCTAAGGAGAAGTCTGCTGTGTGTATTCAAACACTCAGACAAGGTATCATGCTGCATGGTATATTAACAAGGTATTGAAAAATTGCAAGTGTAGAAAACAAAAACAAAAAATTGACAGTAAATACATGGACAGAACAGGAACATAGCTGAACAAATCTGTAATGTAGTTACCACTGCCAATGTTCAAAAAAAGAAGGTTTATATTCAACTATGAACTCTCAACACTGCACTCCAACAGCTATGGAAATGACCATGATGAACCAAAGATTAGTTTCATTCTAAACCAGGTCTCAGTAGTAGTAACCAGTTACCAGTAACCAGTGTACCAGTAGATGACTCACTACCAACCGTCTCTGCCTGAGTCACTGTCTGTATTCATATTGTGCTGACCACAGCAGTATTCAAAGACCCCCTCACATATGGGTACTGTGGGCGGCCAGTCAGTTATACGAGAGTGAGCAAGGAGGCAAGGTTACGGCTGTTTGGGCGCTCCCCACATTATCCGTAATTATACGTACTACCAGCCTACATGAGTATTACTTTACCCTATCCACGTGTTCGAATCCCACATGATAAATGGTGGCACCGGTGTGGAGCGTGGATTTAAGTTTTTACGGGTATTTCAAGACGTTAGAAGACTGTTTGTGAGTAGCCGGCGGGTCAAAGGTGAACCGTCTCACCCACTCCAGCTACTCGCTCCCCTCACAACCTCCACCTCCAGCCTGCAAGCCTGTTGCAGCCGTTTCAAGCTTCCTGGCTTAGTTCGTGTGCTAATTGCTTCAATCTCCGAGGGGTTGACCCAGATTTTGCAATTAAGCCAGTCAGTAAGCCAGACTGTGGAAGTGAACGCCAGTCAGCCTATCATCCAGCCTGTCTCCTGTCATCCACCTGCTCCTCCGTGCTGTGTGCATCGTTACACATCTTCCAGTCAGCCATTCTCGTGGGTTAAGCCAGTCAGCCAACCCAGCTTCTAACCCAGCTGAGAGAGAGAAGTAAGCCACGCAGTAAGAAGTAAGCCAAGTTCCTCTGAAGTATTGTCTATATCGCTTTGTGCTTGGATGCTAAGAGTGAATTTCACCATTCCTGTGGCATAGAGTGGCTTATCAAGCCACCTTCGTGGGTAGTGAGTGGAGTGCGCGCCAGTGAGCGCCAGCGAGTCACCATCTCACTCACTGCTATACACTCTCCCTTCACCCACCCACCACCAACCACCATCACCACCATCCACCTCATCTACCTGTGGTTGTTTGCACCCTTGTACCGGGTCCTAATACTGTTTTGGCTCACATAATTGGTCAAGAGATTGTAGCTGAGCGCCACCGATAAAGCCAGTTATGTGAGTTCACCGAGAAAGCGCATCTTCACGACGACAGTGTGAGTGTCGGCGTCATCACCGCGCAGGACAACCTTCCTCATCACCAGTCATCCCTTCTACTCGTCCAGACTTCAGTGATAATTTTCTGTTCAGAGACATTTTTTCTTGCATTTAAAGACATTTGCGTGTGTGAGACATTTATAGTGAATTTGTTGTGTACTTTGACATTGTATAGAATCAGCCCAAGCCGTACACCTGCCATCTCTAGTTTGTATTAGTTGTATGTCGGGACGACATACGTTAGCGTCGCCGAGCTCTCAGTAGTAGTAACCAGTAACCAGTGTACCAGTAGATGACTCACTACCAACCGTCTCTGCCTGAGTCACTGTCTGTATTCATATTGTGCTGACCACAGCAGTATTCAAAGACCCCCTCACACATGGGTACTGTGGGCGGCCAGTCAGTTATACGAGAGTGAGCAAGGAGGCAAGGTTACGGCTGTTTGGGCGCTCCCCACATTATCCGTAATTATACGTACTACCAGCCTACGTGAGTATTACTTTACCCTATCCACGTGTTCGAATCCCACATGATACAGGGACACCTTCACACAGTTCTAGGGAAATTTTTCAGGAATCCAAAACTCTGCCAACCTCTTGTTCCAGGCACACTTTCTATACAACTAAGGAATTAGTGACCAAACTCCAAGATAGGAACAATATTTTCACCACTACCAATGTTCTTCTGAGAATTAATTGAAACTCTCAGCATTGAAAATTGGGTTGATCAAATGTTTTGTTAGTGGGATGAGTTGTAAAGGACCTGCCTAGTATGGGCCAACAAGCCTCCTGCAGTGTTCCTCCTTTCTTATGTTCTTATGTCTGAACAGCCATTAGAAGGGAATTAGTATTAACTTTAATCTTCACCATGGACACCATTATACAGACACAGGGATAAAGGAATTTTCAGCCTGGCAAATTCCTCTTGCTGGGTAAACTCTCTGACCAGACCTTTATTGTTGTTCACACGTTCATGTCAGCCGCACCTCGCCTACAGTTCTCACACTGTCTATATATTTCCATATTTCCTATGCATTCTCTAGACTTGATAAAAGCTTGTCACCAACTGACACCCTTGTCTTAATAAAACGTTCATTCTGTTCTGTGCTGCTGGTTATAACAATTTATACAGAATGGAGTCAATAATAGGAAGCAGCAATCGCAAAGAGAAATATAGCAATTTACAATTTTACTTACACTATGATCAACGGATGGTTGCTAAAAGAAAAAAGTGAAGTCAAAATAACTATTGTATCAATCCACATTAAGATTTATGCAAAGAAAACATGACTCACTGATAGGATATTAAATGCACTCTAGCCTATCTACACAATGAAACTCATTGTAAGGTATTTAGCAATTTCTTTTTTACCTCAATGGACATCTCTCACTAAGGCAGGGTGACCCCCCCCCCAAAAAAAAAAAAAAAAAAAATCTACAATCATTCATTCAATCGCTTGTCTTGCCAGAAGTGTGTTGACATCACAGCCCCTCTGAACTGCAACATCCTCATCTCTCTTTTAGAGTGCAGGCACTGTATTTCCTGCCACCAGAACTAAAATCCAGCTAACCAGTTTCCCTGAATCCCTTCATAAATGTCACACTGCTCACTCTCCAACAGAATGTCAAGCCATAAAAATTACTCGTCTCCACTACATTCTGATCAAACACACTCACTCTGTACATTTTTTTTTTTTTTTTTTCAACAAGTCGGCCGTCTCCCACCGAGGCAGGGTGACCCAAAAAAGAAAGAAAATCCCCAAAAAGAAAATACTTTCATCATTCAACACTTTCACCACACTCACACATTATCACTGCTTTTGCAGAGGTGCTCAGAATACAACAGCTTAGAAGCATATACGTATAAAGATACACGACATATCCCTCCAAACTGCCAATATCCCAAACCCCTCCTTTAAAGTGCAGGCATTGTACTTCCCATTTCCAGGACTCAAGTCCGACTATATGAACATAACCGGTTTCCCTGAATCCCTTCACTAAATATTACCCTGCTCACACTCCAACAGATCGTCAGGTCCCAAGTATCATTTGCCTCTATTCACTCCTATCTAACACGCTCATGCAAGAAATATAATTAACAAATACTTTATACATGCTGTGGTAAATGATGTGGTGTTAACTGCTATTATGCCATCCCACAATACTAGTTTAATTTTTTTCAAAATTCTATTCAGTATTGCATGCATTACAATTATGATTCTGAATTTTTTTGTTTTAACATGTCAGCCATTTCCCACCAAGGCAGGGTGATCCAAAAAAGTAAAAAAAAAAAAAAAAAAACAAAGAAACAAAAAACTTTTATCATCATTCAACACTTTCACCATCACTCATACATAAACACTGTCTTTGCAGAGGTGCCCAGATACGGCAGTTCAGAAGTCCTTCCAAACTGCGAATATCCCAAACCCTTCCTTTAAAGTGCAGGCACTGTACTTCCCATTTCCAGGACTCGTGTCCAGCTAACCGGTTTCCCTGAATCCCTTCACAAAATATTACCCTGCTCACACTCCAACAGCTTGTCATGTCCCAAAAACCATTAGTCTCCATTCACTCCTATCTAACACGCTCAGGCGTGCTTGCTGGAAGTCCAAGCCCCTCGCCCACATTATTATTATTATGATCAAGGGGGAAGCACTAAACCCAGAGGATTATACAGCGCCTGGGGGGGGGATGTGGAAGGCATTCAGGCTTAATTTGGGGAACTGGAGCACAGATCCAATTCCCTAAATCAAAAGCCCCTCACCAACATCAAGGAACCTTCCTTGAGGGGCCCCTCGCCCACAAAACCTCCTTTACCCCCTCCCTCCAACTTTTTCGAGGCCAACCCTTACCCTGCCTTCCTTCCCCTACAGATTTATACGCTCTCCAAGTCATTTTACTTTGTTCCATTCTCTCTAAATGATCAAAACATCTCAACAACCCCTCTTCAGCCCTCTGACTAATACTTTTAGTAACTCCACACCTCCTCCTAATTTCCACACAACGAATTCTCTGCATAATATTTACACCACACATTGCCCTTCGACAGGACATGTACACTGCCTCCAGCAGCCTCCTCGCTGCAGCATTTACAACCCATGCTTCACACCCATATAAGTGTGTTGGTACCACTATACTCCATACATTCCCTTCTTTGCCTCCATGGATAACATTTTTTTGTCTCCACAGATATCTCAAAGCACCACTCACCTTTTTTCCTTCATCAATTCTATGGTTAACCTCGTCCTTCATAAACTCATCCGCTGACAAGTCAACTCTCAAATATCTGAAAATATTCACTTCTTCCATACTCCCTCCCTCCACTGTGATATCCAATTTTTCTTTATCTAAATCGTTTGACACCCCTCATCACCTTACTCTTATCTATGTTCACTTTCAACTTTTTATTTTTACACACCCTCCCAAATTTGTCCACTAACCTCTGCAACTTTTCTTTTCTGATATACAGTATTAAGTTAAATAAATGGGCTGCACAAAAGTATTTCTTCCAAGTACAGTACTGCTTACAGAAGCAATTATGCATGCTAATCCAGAGTAAATAGGTGAGCATTAGAATTAAGAGAACAGTGTAATATAAAATACTACACTATTTGAAAGCTTTGTAACTACAAGAGTATAAACACACACATTCAACCTTAACTTACTGTAACCACTGGAAGGAGCTATCTTTGCTCTTCAGTCTTTCCTCAACATTCAAGGAGAAGAGGCTCATGTCTCGCACCATCACCTGGTACTTGGCAATGCTGTTGGAAAGATGTAATTTACTGAATGCAGACAGATGTATTACAAATTTTTCTTTTAACATGTCAGCCATTTCCCACTGAGGCAGGGTGACCCAAAAAGAAAGAAAAAACTTTCATCATTCAACACTTTCACCATCATTCGTAAGTAATCACTGTCTTTGCAGAGGCGCTAAGATACGACAGTTTAGATTTCACCCCAAACAGTAAATATCCCAAACCCCTCCTCTATGGTGCAGGCACTGTACTTCCCACCTCCAGGACTCAAGTCAGTCTAACCAGTTTCCCTGAATCCTTTCACTAAATATTACCCTGCAGCTCGTAAGGCCCCAAAGACCATTCATCTCCATTCACTCCTAACACACTCACGCAAATAAATGTACTGTATTATTATATTAAAGGCAACTTATTAAAAAGTAGTGTTCTAGGGGTTTCAGCTTACAAAATGAGATGTGTTTCTTATGTTTCACCTAGCAAAAGTTTTTTTCTTGCAAATGAGTTGTGCTCCTGGTGTTTCAACTAAAAAATTAGTTTTAAAAGAAAACAATAGTACAAGGAATAATTACATTTCATACAAGTTTGTAATGCACATTATTTGTGAAAATTTAGTAGATTTTTAAGTGGTCCATTTGTACATGTAGATGTTTTTAAGAAGGAACCTCCTGCATACTGCTATTTATTATTAGTTTTGGTAAAATACTAAGCTGAAAAAAACCTTGTTTAATTCATCATGAGGTTTCAACTCTGTATAGGTGATGAGTTTCGACTTAATCTTTATGAAAATATTTTAGATTCAATGCCTTGAGAAAACTAAGTTGCAATACTATGATCAACAGTTCGTTTTTAACTTGTATTATCTACTATTACTTTTAATTTGAACATTAAACTTCTCTCGGGGAAAAATCAAAATTTCTGCAATGATACACTGTGACCAGTCTGTCTGTGTAAAATAATTTAAATCATATTCATAGTCTTCCATCACACTTTTGATTAAATCGTTCAATTTGTTAGTGGCTGATATGGTCATATACTGAAAACAGTTCTCATTTGGGGTTCTCATTTGGGTAGTTCTTCCACTGCAAATCTACATGCCAGAGTGAAAGTAGGCTATTTGTCTTAATCATTTTCTTCCAGTGCCTCATCAAGAGAAGTTTCTATAGAAAACTGTCAAACTTTACATGCTAATATCTTGAAAGTAATTCTACAATAAGTGGTAAATATTATACCCTTTCAAAAGAAATCTTCTTACTATACACAAGCTGATTCTGGATTTGAGGGGACTAAGAATGCAACTTACACAATTTATTTTTCCATTTTAATAAAATCAGATAATAATTTGGGAGTTGCACTGTATACATTGTTACACAGTGACATGCAGAAAAAATATTTTATATAAAGTAGCTCCAGGACTGAACTGAAAGCGAACGCATTTTATTCCTATCAGTCAGGCAGTGGCCAGGACAGGAGCAGATGAGAGGTGAGTTTAGTTCAGTACAAGTCAGGTGGTGACGGAGGTAAAGTCATCATGTTTGGGCAGTAGTTTGAGTACATAATTTTGGTAAGTTTTTTAGTGTATACCATAGGTGTTTGTGTTTAAGTGCTCTCATGTTTATTTGTAAGCCCCTAGTATGCAGAGGCCTGTTTATGCTCGAGTACTGTATGGTGTTTTGGCTGGTGGTAATTAGTCTACCAGGCAGAAGTGAAGAGCTGGGTGTGTATGTCATGGAGCCTCCCTGCTCACTAGCAGTGTGCTAGTGAGCTAATGTGAACTGGAGCGTGGTGGTTTTTTGGAGTAGATTGTAAGTTGTAAATTTAAGAGAAACTTTCGTTTTTCTTTTTGGGCCACCCTGCCTTGGTGGGATATGGCCGGTGTGTTGAAAGAAAGAAAGAATATATTTTTGTCCTAGGTAGTAGGTTGGTAAACAGCAACCACCCAGGGAGGTACTACCGTCCTGTCAAGTGAGTGTACAATGAAAGCCTGTAATTATTTTACATGATGGTAGGATTGCTGGCATCTTTTGTCTGTCTCATAAACATGCAAGATTTCAGGTACATCTTTCTACTTCTACTTACACTTAGGTCACAATACACATACATGTACAAGTATATATATATACACATATACCTCTGGGTTTTCTTCTATTTTCTTTCTAGTTCTTGTTCTTCTTTACTTCCTCTTACCTCCATGGGGAAGTGGAACAGAATTCTTCCTCTGTAAGCCATGCGTGTAGTAAGAGGCGACTAAAATGCCAGGAGCAAGGGGCTAGTAACCCCTTCTCCTGTATATATTACTAAATGTAAAAGGAGAAACTTTCGTTTTTCCTTTTAGGCCACCCTGCCTCGGTGGGATACGGCCGGTGTGTTGAAAGAAAGATATTTTTGTATAGGTGAGTTTTTGTGTCCTTCCTTATTTAATTATTTGCACTCATGCTTCATAATTTGTATGAGTACACGCTGGCCCAAGGTTCGCTGTTTTCAGAGTAATTTTATAACCCCTAGACAGCAGTGTGAGCAGTCTTTAGGAGCCAGGAACATTTTATTTAAGTTATGACATCGAAGTCATAACAGTATAAATAGGCAACTAGTGAGAGTGGCACAAACTACCGCATCCACCAAGAGGGGCAGAAATGAGCTGCCAACCTATTTTATCAAAATCTTCCTACATGGTAATGATGTAATGTAAAATACAAAAGATTACTGAAATTATTTAAATCATTCTATAATTATTAACTATGTATAAGGGTGTTATACAGAGGTATAACACCAATCTTCTGGCAATGGCAGGTCTGGTACCTCTTTTTGTCTGGACATAATTGTGAGGGCAGCTTAGGATGGCGTTTATAGTGCTCGCTCACCATTACTGTTTACACTTCAGTTGTTAGTGGTGATCCCTTGATTTTGTGTGGCTCTAAGCATGCTTTGCAAATATTTAACCCTGGCAATGGAAACCAGCCCCTTGCCCTTATTTTAAAGTTTCCCAATAGCAATGGTACGGGGAAAAGGGTTAAAGAATTATTAGGCAAATTTAAAAAAAGGGTTTTTTTGTAATGGAACAAGAGCTAAAAAATTTTTTTTGGATGAAAAAAAAATTTTTACATAACGGGGGAAAGGCCCAAGGGCACTTTTAAAACAACTTCCTTAGATTAGGGTTTTGAAAAAAAATCCAAGAAGACGGGAGGTTTCCCACAGCTTAACCCTTTACATCTGAAAATCATGCACTTTAATTTAAAATACCCCAATGTCCTCCTGAAACTCAAAAAAACCCATGATGAAACACCCAAATATAAACAAACAATAATTCTGACAACCTTCAACCCCCCAACTTTTTGATTATTTTCTACATTTCCCGTAAAATTTCAAAATTTGGGCCAAATTTTGGGAAGGGAAAGTACTGAAATTTTATTCTTTATAAATACAGTAATCGTAAACCAGTTTTTTTTTAAGCTGGGGGTTTTTTTTAATTTCTAGCAATACACACAAGGTGTAAAATTTTATGGGTTTCAAGGTGTATTGATGAAGTATTTTTTTTTTTTTAAACAAGTGGGCCCGTCTCCCACTGAGGCGGGTGACCCAAAAAGAAAAAAAAATCCCCAAAAAAAAAATACTTTCATCTCATTCAACACTTTCCCCCTCACTCCCCACAAAATCAATTTTTTGAAAGTGCCCAGAATACAACATTTTTAGAAAAATAAACAAACAAGATACACAACATATCCTTCCAAACGGGCCATTATTAAAAATTATCTGATCTCTTTGGTCCAAAAAAATAAATTTCTAAAAGGGCTTAGGACCAAGGGGGGCCAAAAAAATTTGTCTTGGGCTTAGGCTTACCCTTACCCCCTGGAGAAAAGGGTGACATTATAAAAAAACCCTTTTCCTCATTTTTCCTCACTTTTAAAAAATTTACGAAACGGGGGGCCCTGCTTTAGGGTATTCCACTTTAAGCAGTTTTCATTTAAAACCCACTGCTAAATTATTTTCGGAACTTTTTTCTGCTTTTTTCAGCAAAAAAAAATAAAAAAAAAAAAAAAATTAACTCACAGAAAATTAGGTCTAAAAATCGGGAAAAACTTTTTGGTTTGTAAACCCCTTTTTTCATAAAAAGTTTCAACAACAATTTATAGAAAACTACAACAAGGGATGTGTGACATCCAGGTAATGTGTTTTCTCGAATGTAGTGAATTTTAAAGGCTTTTTTCCCGAGGTTTTTTTTTTTTTATTTTTTTTTTTAAATTTTTTTTAAAATCATTTACTACCCGAATTGCTAGGCAAAGGAGTGCTAAGATGACTCACTAGTGTTCAAGATGCAATAAAACACGGGAAAGCATTCACCCCAAACCCTAATAAAGTCATTATTAATTTTATTCAAGACATATTTTAATCCATCTATGATATTTTGAAAAATTATATAGAAACACACTATATATCATATAAACAGACAACAATCCCCCCAACAGTTTGGCAAAATTTTTGAGGTGTGGTAGCCAGGCACACTTAAAGGAGTTTACAGCAAAAATTTTAATCCTAAAAACAATCTCACTAGTCCACTCCCACCAAAAAAAACTGTGTATATTACGGGGGGGGGTAACTGGGGGAAAAAACACTCCTTTCATAGGAAATTGCCCCAAAATAGCATCTTTTGCTTTTAAAAAAAATTAAAAAAAAAAACTTTTTTTTTTTTTTTTTTTTTTTTTTTCAACAAGTCGGCCGTCTCCCCCCGGGAGGCAGGGGCCCCCAAAAAAGAAAGAAAACCCCCCAAAAAAAAAATTTTTCCCATCATCATTCAACACTTTCACCACACTGCACTTAAACAGGGGGGGGGGGGGGCCGGTGCTAGAAAAACAAAAAGTCTAGAAGAATAAACATATAAAGATACACAACATACCCCTCCAAACTGCCAATATCCCAAACCCCCCCTTTTTAAAAAGTCGGGGTTTTTGTACTTCCCTTTTTCCGGGACTCAAGTCCGACTAAAATAAAAAAACCCGGTTTCCCTGAATCCCTTCACTAAATATTACCCTGCTCACACTCCAAAAAAGACGTCAGGTCCCAAGTACCATTCGTCTCCATTCATTTCCTACCCTAACACGCTACGCCGCTTCTGGAAGTCCAACCCCCTTTCCCCAAAAAACCCCCTTTTAACCCCCCTTTTCCCAACCCTTTCGAGGCAAACCCCTACCCCCCCTTTTCCTTTCCCCTATAGATTTATATGCTTTCCATGTCATTCTACTGTGATCCTTTTCTCTAATGACCAAAACCCCCTCAAAAACCCCTCTTTTTGCCCTCTGGGCTAATTAATTTTAAATTTAAATCCACACCTTTCCTAATTTCCACACTCCAATTTTCGGGGATAATATTTACACCACACAAAAACCCTTTAAAAAGGACATCTCCGCGCCTCCAACCCTCTCCCCCCCCCTGCTGCTTTTACCCCCAAGGGTTCCACCCATAAAGAGTGTTTTGGGACTACTATACTTTTAATTTCATTCCCTTCTTTGCCTCCTTAAAAGTTTTTTTACTTTCCCCAAATACCTCAACGCACCACTCACCTTTTTTTCCCTCATCAATTCTTTGATTTTTCCCCACCTTATAAAAAAATCCGGGCCGGGCCGTCAAATTTCCCCAAATATCGAAAACAATTTATTCTTCCCCTACTCCTCCTCCCCAATTTTTTAATCCCCAATTTTTTTTTTATCTAAATCCCTTTGACACCCCCATCACCTTACTCTTTTCTATGTTCACTTTAAAATTTTTACCTTTACAAAACCCTTCCCAAACTCATCCATAACCTTTGCAATTTTTCTTTAGAATCTCCCCTAAACACAGTATCAAACAGCAAAAAATAACTGTGCAATTCCCATTTTGAATTTTATTCCCCATAATTTTTAAACCCACCCCTCTCCCAAACACCCTAGCATTTACTTTTCCCTTTTCACCCCATCTATAAATATATTAAAAAAACCATGGGGGACATTTCCCCTCCCCGTCTAAGACCTACTTTTAAACCGGGGAAATAGTCTCCCCTCTTCCCACACACCCTAAACCCGAGCCTCACTATCCTCAAAAAAAAACCCCTTTTCAGCATTTAATTTAAATTACCAAACCCAAATTTCCCTATACTTGCAAAAAAACTGCCACATTTCTCCTCTATCCACCCTATCATATGCCTTTTCTAAAAACCATAAAAGCAATAAAAACTTCCCTATCTTTATCTAAAAAACTGTTTACATATATGCTTCAAAAGTTAAAAACCTGATTTTACCATCCCCTACCCACTCTAAAAACCCCCCTTCTCATCCCCCAATCCTTTTATTCTGTTTTTAATCCCAAATTTTTTTTTCAATTATAAACCCCACCGTACACTTTTCCCCGGGATACTCATAAGTTATTCCCTATAATTTTTTTTTAAACCCTTTTTTTCCCCTTTTTCCCCTTTTTATAAAAGGGGCTAATACATGCCTCCCGCCAAACCCAGGTTCCTTCCCCTCTTTTATACATTTATTAAACAAAAGTACCAACCATCCAACACTATTTTCCCCCCCCGCTTTTTTTTTAAATTTTGTCATGATCCCCTCAAATTCCAGCTTTCTTTAACCCCCCCTTTTAAATTTTTCGTAATCCTCACGACCTCCCCCACACTTACAAACGCTCTTTTTTCACTCCTAAAAGAAAAGGGATACCTCCCCGACCAGTGCATGAAATTAAATGCCCCCTTTCTTTCCCTTTTTATTTAAAAGTTCCTCAAAATTTCTCGCCCCTCTACCCAAAAACCTCCATCTCCCCCTCAAATAACTCCCCTACCTGTTTTTTAAAAATGGGCAAATCCCAAAATTTTTCCCCGGCTTTTTTAAAATTTTTTAACCCCACCCCCCAAAATTTTTTTTTAAAATTTTTATTTTTAAAAAATTTTTTGACGTGCCTCTCCCACTCATCATCTGCACTCCCTTTTTCACTCCCTCACCACTTCTTTACCCTTTTTTTTACTCTCCCTATACCCCTCTTTTTCTTTTAAAAAATTCTTTCCTTTTTTAAAAACCTCTCAAAAAGAAACCCTTTTTTTCTTTTATCACACCCTTTAAATTTTATCATTCCACCCAAACACTCCTCTTTCCCCCTGCCCCCCCCTCCTATAACCCCAAACTTCTGCCCCCCATTCTAATACTCATTTTTTTAAAAAAAATTCCCAAACCCCTTCAAACCCCCCCCCTATCATCTTGCACAAACCCCCCTTTCTGCCAAAGTCGCTTATATCTCCCCGAACTTCCTCCTCCCCCTTTGTTTTTACACTTTCACTTCCTCTTACTTGTTGTTGCCACCTTCCTCTTTTCCCATCTACCTCTTTCTCTTTTAAATGTAGCTACAACTAAAAAAAGATCCCCATATATCAGTTCCCCTCTATAAAAAATTTCATCCTGGAGCCTACCCAACAAACCCTTTTTTCCACCAATAAAATAACTTTAAACTACTTTTTAAATTTCGGGGCTACATCATTTCCCTTTTTTATATTTATTTATCCTCTTTTTTATAAAATAGGGTTTTCTTATTACCAAATTTTTTTTTTTACAAAATAGCTCAATTAAATTCCCCATTTCATTTACCCCGGCACCCCAAAAATTTTCCTACTAAACCCCCCATAAAATTTTTACCCCCTTTTTGCATTTTAAAAACCCCCAAACCCCCTTTCTCTAAAAAACTTGGGTTAAAAAAACCCCCCGCTTCAAACCCAAAATTTCCCAAAATCTCTCTCTCTCCTCTACACTTCTCTCTTTTCCAGGTGCATTTCACGCTTAATTTTAAAAAAACTTTTCACATCCAAAACTTTATTTTACTCCCTAAAAATCCTTGAATTTTAAAACATTTATGGGCCCCCTTTTTCCCGCCATGGGTTATCCTTCAAAAATTTTTGCTACTCCTTCTTTAGCTCTAAAATTTTATTTTTAAAACCCCCGACCCAATTCCCCTTTATTTTCCCCTCCACTTTAAACCTCCCCCCCCCCTTTTAGCTTTTTTTCACTTAAAAACCGGACTCCCGCTTCTTTTTCATTTTAAAAAACATCCCCAATCATCTCTTTTTTTCATTTTGCACAAAATCCCGCACATTCAGAATTCCCACTTTTGACAATTTTTTTTCTTTTTATTCTTTTTAGTAATTTTTTCAGGAAAAGGGGGGTTTCTAGGGCCCTTGTTTCCGGCATTTTTTGTTGACTTTTTCAACACGCATGGTTTCCCAAGGAAAAAATTCTTAAATTTCCCCCTTCCCCCTTTGGGAATTTAAAAAGGGAAAAATTAATAAGACCCAAAAATATTAAGATAAAAACAAAAAACCAGTGAGTGGTATAAATAAATGTTTTAATGTATGGGGTAGTGGGACCTAAGTTAAGTAGAAGTTTGCAAGACATGCCTGGGAATCTTGCATATTTAAAGAGACAGCAAAAGAATCAGCAATCCTACCCATCATGTAAAACAATCACAGGCTTCGTTTTACACTCATTGGCAGGCGGTAGTACCCCCCGGGGTGGTTTTGTTTCTACCAAACCTACTACTAAAAAAAAAATAAACATTTACAAAAAAACCTTATGCGTACATTGCAGGTAGCAGCCTTCGGAGCCGGGAAACCTTTTTTTTAAAATTTAAAACATCAAAGTTTAAATCATACAATTGTGAAAATGTTGACTTTAAAAATTATTCATAAATAAAAAATTACCACTTCCCCAAGGGGAAAAAGATGCAAAGGGTTTGGTAAACTCTGGAGGGAGAAACAATTTTTTTGAACTGACCCCGGGGAGCCCCAACACATCAGGGGTGTAGGGACTCTGGCAATACAACCCGGGGTCTCAAAAATGATTCCAAGCTGCAAAAACAAAAATCAAATTTCCCACTTAAAACCTTATTTAAAATTTAAAATTTTTAGACGTTATCATACTTAAAAAAAAACTAATCTAAACTTCCACAACCTAAAAAAAAACCAACATGAATTTAAGGTAACCCGTCTCCAAACCCTTCCCCTTACACATTAATCAAAGAGAAGCAATTTAAAATTTAAAAAGAGAAGTACTCCCATTCACTCCCCCAAAACCTAGTTAGACAATGAATCTACAATATGGATTATACACCAACACATCAAACTTTTCAACCTTTGTTTATTAACTTACTCAAATGAAAAAGGTAGGTCAGTGCTCTCTTCATGTGCTGGACTAAAGCATGAACCTGAAGCAGAAGCTGGTGGAGGTACCGGTAGGTTTAAAGTATCAGTCGAGCGTGAGAAGCTCATTCTCCGACGATGACGAGGGGAAGCTTCCCACTGATTACTGGACAAGCCAGCAAATGACTCAATCCTGAAACAAAAAAATTAAATGCAGGTATGGAAAGAAAATATACATTATGCAAACACAAGCCCTCATTTTCCTATTTTTTGCACACTTAAGAATTCTTTCAGATTAGACTTGGGTAATTGATTTCAGGAAAGGCATATCAACTTAAAATGGCAGGGAAGCAGGAACTATGTAATGCCAAGCAAGGCACAGTTGCCTTAACATAATAGTCCATCATTAAACAGTTAAGGAGTGTGAGAATGAGTGTTAATGTTGAAGGAAAATGAGAGAGTTATAGGAGTGAACTGGAGAAGGTGCGAGTGTTAACATCATGTTTCTTTGAAACGTGAATAAAAACAAAAATATTTCAATATTACAAACAATTCTATTAATAGTGTGTATAATATGGTAGATCACCAATACCTGGAACACTAATAACAATATGCTGTACCAACCAATAGCAAATAAACATCAAAACACCACGGATAAGATGAAAAAATAAATGCTGAACTGTGTCTATGTGCATATTAAAAGCATTCACCACATATTAATTCACAAATAAATTTGCCACAAAAGCAAATGAAAAGTAATATTTAAGTAACTTAACCAGTACTCTATTATTTAAGTATAAAAGTGGCATTATAAAAACAATGGTTTCAAGGCAGTAGTTTCAAATTTAATTAAAGAAAAATGAACCACAGCATGATATAGCTGCAGGATATGTTTTGATATAACAATTTCAACTAAAAATACCCTTCAGAAGTGGTTTTAAGAGGATAAAAAAAACTACCTAGCTTATCAAGCTCAATAAACTCCATAAAAATTCTTAAACCTAATAATAAATAATAAAAAGTTTGTTTAAATTTATTCCTCATTTCAGTCATACCTTTTACTAACAAGACCCATTGCCATTTCAGTAGCAGCATGCTTTATTGAAAGTGAAACAAACCCATGAAATGCTTGAATTCGTAGCACGGGACTTCAGTTCTTGCGGGGGAAAAAGGGGTGGGAACACACAGACCCAGTCGCAGTTCACAGTCAAGTTCTGGGCATCCCCAACACTAGAGGAAAAATATTTACAATAAAAATATTATACTGAAGGAAAATTTGCCAATAAATTTTAACCAAAAAAAAAGTAGAAAATAATGCCCCTATAAAAATCTACTTTGGATAACCAACAAATTTAATTGCCCAAAAGTTCTATATAGATTCTTGGGGTAATAAAAAAATTCCCAAATAAAATCAAAAAAAGCATACAAAAACCTAAAAAAGATAAAGTCATGGGCTTACACAGGTACAAAATGACAGTCTTTTTTGACAAAAAAAATGTCAATAATTGAAAGATTTTTTGTGGTAATTTTCATCACGGGCCAGGGGGTATACCATTTTTAGGAGGAAGAAGAGCAAATGAAGTGGGGGGAACTACCGGGCATTACGTAAATGAAAGGGGGGTAAAAGCATGGAATGAGGGGCATGACAGAAAGTTAAAAGAGGGGGGGGAATGGGTTTTTGGAGTGGTTGGTACTTTTTGTTTAATAAATGTATGAAAGAGGGGAAGGTACCTGGGGATTGGGGCAAGAGCATGTATAGTCCCTTTATATAAAGGGAAAGGGGACAAAAGAGAAGTAAAATTATAGGGAAAAATTTTTACTGATATCCCAGGAAAAGTAACGGTGGGGTTTAAAAATTTGAAAAAATTAGAGGAAAGACAGAATTGGATTGGGGATGAGCAAGGGGGTTTCAGAGTGGGTAGGGATGTGTAGATAAAAGTTTTTAACATTGAAGCAAAATTGTGAACTATTTAGATAAAGGTGGGAAGTTTTTTTTTGCTTTATGGTTTTGGGGCCACCCCCCCCCTGGGGGGAAAGGGCCATGGATAGAAAGGGCCAGTGTGATAGTAGGAAAAGGGGTTGGTAACGAAACCCCCGGGAAATACACCGCCGCCAATGACTGTGAAAAAAAAAACCTGTAACTGTTTTGCTGAGGGTGGGATTGGGGGTTTCTTTTTCTGTCTCAAAAACACGCAAAGATAACGGGATATTTTGCTACCCATTTAACTTTGGTCACACTTACAGACACCACATGCATATTAATATACTACTCTAGGTTTTTCTCTTTTTTTCTAAATCTCTTGTTTTTTTTTTATTTCTTCTATTGCCCTGGGGAAGTGGAAAAGAATCTTTCCTCCGTAACCCTCGTTCGATACACTAAAAGCCGGGCAATGGCTGTAACCCCTTCCCTGTAACAATTACTAAAAAAGAAAAGAAAAAAAATTTTATAAAAGGGTTGCTTAAATGCGGGGATGTAGTGGGGGGAACAAAAACAGTGTTTTGCTGATGTTATGAATGAAAAGAAGTTGGTGTCCCTGGCCCTAAGCGAAACAAAGCTGGGGGGGTAGGGGAGATTTTCAGGGGGGGGAAAATAAATGGGTTTAAAAATCTGGAGTATCTGAGAGAGTTAAGCAAAGGAGGGGTAGCAGTAATTTTAAATGACAGTTTTGGAAGGAGAAAAGAGAATATAAAAGGAAAATTCAAGAATTATGGGGGTTTAAAGAAAAGGTTTGGATCGAGGAAAGTGGGTCATAATAACGTGTTGCACCTGAAAAGAGAGGAATGCGAGGAGAGAGAAGATTTTGGGAGATGTTAAGTGAATGATAGGAGCCTTTGAACCAATGAAGGAAATTGGGAGGGGGACTTGAATGCTAAATAGGGAAACTTTTAAAAGGGGGTTTGGGGTGGGTAATTTTTTGGGGGGTGCCGGGTGTAAATGAAAATGGAGCCCTTTGATTGAATTTGTATAGAAAGGGGTTTAGTTTAGGAATACATATTTTTAAGAAAAAAAGGATAAATAATTAACGAATGATGTGGGGCGAAATGACAGTAGTTTTTTGATTATGATTGTAAAAAAAGACGTTGGTAGATTCGGGATGTACTTTTTATAGAGGGGCCACAAATATCAATCACTTTCTATTGAGCTATACGGGAAGAAAAAGGTAGAGGGGATAAAAGGAGATAGAAGCATCAGGGAAGAGAGAGGTGAAGGTTTAAAACTAAAAGAGGGGGGCAGTTGGGGAAAGATATAAACACTATTGGAGGATAGAGGGGCAATGAAGCATAGGCAAGGGGGTCAAGAGGTATGGGGTAGGTTTTAAAAAATGTAGTGTTAGAGTTCAGCAAATTTGTGGTTACGGGGAAAGTGGGTGCAGGGGGGAAGGGGAGCGTTTGGGTGGAAATGATGTAAAGAGGGAAAGGGAGAAAAGTTAGCATATAGAAGTTTTTTTAAAAAAGTAGAATTATCAAGGAGGGAAGAGAATGGAAAAAAGAGAGAAGTTAAGAAGGGGAAGAAATGTAAAAAGAGAGAAAATAAGAGTGGGTGGTTTTATCAAAAAAAATTTTGTGAAAATAAAAAAAGTTTTGGAGTGAGTTTAAAAAGTTAAAAAGCCTAGAGAAAAAATGGATTTGTCTTTAAAAAAAGGGAGGGGAAAAGTTATTAAATGGAGAGTTAGGGATTGGGAAAGGGGGAAGGAATATTTTGAGGAATTGTTAAATTTTAAAGAAGATAGGGAAAGCTGTGATTGTTAGGGAAAGGGAGGAATACATCTTTAGGAGTGAGGAAGAGCCAGTTGTAGTGGGGGGGGAAGTTCGTGAGGCAGGGGGTAAAATGAAAGGGGGTGGGGCACCGGGGATTGATGGATAAAGATGGGAAATGTTAAAAACATGGGGATATATTTTGGGGGGTTTTTGGTAAATTTAATTTAATAAAATGTATGGAAGAGGGTAAGGTCCCTAGGGATTGGCAGAGACATGCATATTTCCCTTTTTGTATAAAGGAAAAAAGGGAAAAAAAGTGAAAAAATTATAGGGGAAAATTGTTGATGCCCTGGTAAAATGTTTTTAATTATTTGAAAGAATTAAGAGTAAGCGGAGAAGGGGATAGCAGATGAACAAGGGGGCTTTAGGAAAGGTGGGGGGGGTGGTGGACCGGTGTTTACAGTGAAACATAAATAACAGATTTAGAAAAGGGCAAAGAGGCTTTGTGGCATTTATGGTTTTGGAAAAGGGGTATGAAGGGTGGATAGGGGCAATGTGGCAGATGTTGCAAGTTATGTGTGGGGGTAAGTTACTGAAAGCAGTGAAGAGTTTTTACGAGGAAGTGAGGCTCAATTAGAGTAGTAGGAAAGAGGGGAAAATTTTTTTCCCGTAAAAGTAGCCTTAGACAAGGTGGGATGTTCACCGTGGTTTTTTAAAAATTATAGATGGGTTGTAAAAGAAATAAATGCGAGGGTTTTGGGAAGAGGCGTGGGGTTAAAAGATAAAAAATCACACACAAAGTGGGGGTTGCAACAGCGCTCTTTGTGATGCACTTGCTTGGGAGATTCTGAAGAGAATTGCAGGATTGGGATGAATTTGGAGGGTGTGCAAAAGAAAAATTAAAAGGGGGAATACAGGAAAGGTAAGGTTATGAGGATAACAAAAAGATTAGGTTTAGAAAGATTTAATATCAATGGGGGGGGAGGAGTAGGAGGGGTGAACGTATTCAGATATTTGGGAGTGGACGTGTCAGGGATGGTCTATAAAGATGGGTGAATCATAGAATTTATGGGGAAAAAAAGGGGAGGGTTCACTTAGGGGTCCCTTTGGAAAAAAAGAACTTTGCCGGGGCAAAGAGGGGGGAAATTTTGAGAGTATTTTTTACCAACGCTCTTATAAAGGGGGTAAGCTGGGGGAGAAAATTGCAGCGAGGAGAAGGTGGGCATGGAGATGTCATGTCTGAGGCAATTGTGTGGAATATAATCAGAGAATTCGTTTGGAAATTAGGGGGGGGTCGGGGTTACCAAAATGTTCCCGAGGGCTGGGAAGGGTTGTTTAGGGGGTTTCGGCATGTAGAGAGAATGGAGCGAAACAGAATGACTTCAAGAGTGTATCAGCTGTGTGGAAGGAAGGGGGGTAAGGGGTGGCCTAGAAGGGTGGAGGGAGGGGGTAAAGGAGGTTTTGTGTCGAGGGGGTTGGACTTCCCGCAGGGATGCGTGAGCGTGTTTGATAGGAGGAATGGAACAAATGGGTTTTTTAAATACTTTACGTGCTTTGGAGTGTGAGCAAAGTAACTTTTGAAGGGATTTAGGAACCCGCAGGCCCCACTTGAGTCCTGGGGATGGGAAGTACTTTCCCGCCTTGAAGGAGGGGGGTTTAAAAGTTTCGTTTAAAAAAGTATGTAAAGCACCCTTCTGGCAAGACAGTGATGGAGGAATGATGGGGAAAATTTTTTTTTTTCGGGCCCCCTGCCTTGGTGGAATCGGCCGGTTGATAATAAAAAAAAAAAATAAAATATAAAATAGAAATAAATTTTTAAAAAATTTGTTTTTTGGATTTCCAGACAAAATGGAGAGACTTAGTGCTTTACTGAGCTCACAAAGAATGTAAACAAAAGGGGGGGGCGCGGGACGGGATTAGAATCAGGGGGGGGGAGCCGTATAAACGAGTTTTGGGGCATAATTTTTAAATACCGTATTAGCGGAAGCCGTAAAGGAAACACCGTAAAGCGGGGGGCCCCCTGAATGCTTTAAAAATGTTGTGTTCTGAGCGCCTTGCAAAAACAGTGATTATGTGTGAGTGAGGTAAAAAGGTTTAAAGATACGAAAGTATTTCTTTTAGGGGGTTTTCTTTCTTTTTTGGGCACCCTGCCTCGGTGGGGGAAAGGCCAACTGTTGAAAAAAAAAAAAAAAAATCGCCCCTAGCCCTTGCTCTCATTAATTACCCTTTACTACACTTTTTTTTTTTTCAACAAGTCAGCCGTCTCCATATTTCATTTGTGTGTATGGGGATCCCAAACTGCAAACTTCCTCAAACTAATAACACCGTAAAAGACATTATGACGCTACAAATTCTTTATTAAACTCTAGAAACAGACACATCCTTATTCAAAGCTTTAAACCTAAAAAAGATACAAAATACATAGTCATGAATGCTCTTATTCACTATCTCTTCAAGACCTTGAACTGTAATGCTAATGTAAACATAATACTCTTCCAGTAACAGTCTATGCAAACGAGTGAATCTGTAGAAACTATGCAAATAAATTGCCCAAAATTTGAAATGACCTATCAGAAAAGATAAAACCTATACATAATTTAAAAAATTAAAATAAATATAAAAATTTGGGGAAAACCCGCAGGGTGGCTTGATTCCTGGAGATGGGGAATACAGGCCACACTCTAAGGGGTGTTAATGTTGCAGTTTTACAACTATTGTGTAAACATGCCTCTGGCAAGACAGTGATGGTGAGAAATGGCCATTATGTTAATAAAATATTTTTTTTTTTTAACACTTAAATGGTCCCAAAAGTATAATATGTTTTTTCAAAATCTGAAAGTATGGGAAAAAAAAGTAGATCTTCTTTTTTTTTTTTAACATTTGAAAAAAAAAGGGAAAAAAATTTTTTCATTTTTTTTTTGTTATACGTATTTGAAAAAAGTAAAAAAAAAAAATAGATTCTTTTGTAGCACTACGAATTTGAACGCGATTGTTTGGGCCGTTAAAGGGCTAACAAGTCGGCCGCCCCCCCCGAGGCAGGGTGACCCAAAAATAAGGAAAATCTCCAAAAAGAAAAAACATGGGACCCCCGTTTACGATCACCTCCCCAAAGCGACCCAATTTTTAATGTATTTTATAGGTGCGTTTGTACTGTAATTTGGGGGCTGAAATGGGTAATCTAATTCACAATATTCCTTACGGGAACAAAACGTTCAATAGCACCTGAACGTACTTCTGGAAGAAATAATATCGAAACCGGTCCCCTTTACTTTTATCTCATTCAAAACTTTTACCTCACTCACACATAAAACTGTTTTTTTCAGAGGGGCTCAGAATACAAAAGTTTATAAAATATATGTATAAAGATACACAAAAATACCCTCCAAATTGCCAATTCCAAAACCCCCCCTTTAAATGCAGGGGTTGTATTCCATTTCAGGACAAGTCCGGCTATATAAAAATAACCCGGTTTCCCCGAAACCCTCATTAACCTTTTTAGGGGCCGTGCCTAATTTTACAGTTTACTCCAGGGTCCAAACCGAGACTACGCCCGACTCAGCCACTCTGATAACTGGGGGTAAATTTGGGCCTAGATATGAGAGAATTTACTATGTGGGGGTGCACCAATAACACAAATCCTGCAGCACAAAATGCATATGAGAAAAAAAAAAAGAGACCTGATTTTTTGATTAAAAGCGACTTTGCAGTGTTTTTTCCTATGTTTTATATAGTTGTATTTGTGATTTCTTGGTCTCATTTGATAGAATGGAAAACATATTACAAAAATTGAGATGATTTTGATTGGTTTTAGCACTGGAAATGGCTTGAAACTGAGCTCAAAGTAGCGGAAATGTTAATTTTTTGCCGACGTTGAAGAGTAAACAACCTCACACGTCTAATACATGCCAGCTGGTGGGTCTAATATACATTCACAAATGTGGTGATGATATGTATACAGTAAATCTTCTATTTTTTGGTTTGAATAAAAATTCATTATGTGAATAAAAAATCAAAATGGAATTCATTTGTAAAGCCTCAAAATGTAACTAATGAACAGTGGAAATATTAGTTTAGTGCCAGGAATACCTACATTGTTTATTCTGGACCCTATTTTGAAATTGGAATATTTTGAACTTTGTGTTAAATTGGCCAAATTACCAATTTCCAATCACTTTATTTTGTAGTTGAAACTGTTGACTTGGCGATTTCTTGTGCTCAAGCGATAGAATAGAAGTAATACAGTGGACCCTCACCTAACGATATTAATTGGTACCCGAGAACGAATATCGTTAGGCGAGTTTTTTAGCGTTAGCCGAGGCAAAATGTTTTTTTTTTTTTTAACAAGTCAGCCATCTCCCACCAAGGCAGGGTGACCTAAAAAAGAAAGAAAATCCCCAAAAATAAAATACTTTCATCATCATTCAACTCTTTCACCTCACTCACACATTATCACTTTTTGCAGGTGCCCAGAATACAACAGTTTAGAAGTATATACAGTAGGGCCCCGCTTTACGGCGTTTTGCTTTATGGCATTCCGCTAATACGGTCATTTCAAATTATAACCAAAACTCGTTATACGGCTCCCCCACCTGACTTTCTAATACGGTCACCGCGCCCCACCCGGTTTTACATTCTCTGTGGGATCCGTAATCACAAAGTCTCTCCATTATGACTGGAAACTCCAAAATTTCAAGTGTTTTTAAAAGTTATTTCATATTTTATATAATTTTTTTTTTTTTTTAACAAGTCGGTCGTCTCCCACCGATGCAGAGTGACCCAAAAAGAAAATCCCCATCATCATTCATCATCATTCAACACTTTCACATCACTCACACATAATCACTGTTTTTGAAGAGGTGCTCAGAACACAACAGTTTAGAAGCATATACGTATAAAGATTCACAACATATCCCTCAAACTGCTAATATCCCGAACCCCTCCTTTAGAGTGCAGGCATTGTACTTCCCATTTCCAGGACTCAACTCTGGCTATACAAAAATAACCGGTTTCCCTGAATCCCTTCACTAAATATTACCCTGCTCACACTCCAACAGATCGTCAGATCCCAAATACCATTCGTCTCCATTCACTCCTATCGAACAAGCTCATGCACGCCTGCTGGAAGTCCAAGCCGAGGGGCTTGGACTTCCACAAAATCTCCCTTACCCCTTCCTTCCAACCTTTTTGAGGATGACCCCTACCCTGCCTTCCTTCCACTACAGATTTAAATGCTATCCATGTCATTCTACTTTGATCCATTCTCTCTAAATGACTAAACCACCTCAACAACCCTTCTTCAGCCCTCTGACTAATACTTTTATTAACTCCACACCTTCTCCTAATTTCCACACTCCAAATTTTCTGCATAATATTTACACCACACATTGCCCTTAGACAGGACATCTCCACTGCCTCCAACCGCCTCCTCGCTGCTGCATTCACAACTCAAGCTTCACACCCATATAAGTGTGTTGGTACTACTATACTTTCATACATTCCCTTCTTTGCCTCCATAGGTAACGTTTTTTGTCTCCACACATACCTCAATGCACCAATCACCTTTTTCCCCCTCATCAATTCTATGATTAACCTCATCCTTCATAAATCCATCCACTGACACGTCAACTCCCAAGTATCTGAAAACATTCACTTCTTCCATACTCCTAATATATAAATAAACTAACAAATGATAATAAGACAAATACGATATACTGAAGTTCGAACACGTACTTTGTGAAACTGGAGTGGAGAATGCAAGTGGACGGATAATAGTAAAGCTGAATGCCCGAACTGTATTTTCTGAGGTTGAGTATGACCGATAGATATCACTGCTCAGTCGAGAAAACGGATCCTGAAAAGAAAATTTTTTTCATTAGCTGTTTTAGTTCAAGTTATAGTTAAAGTCTTCCTGCTTGGCAGAGAAGTCCTGACCATTTAATTTATGTATGTACATTCATGCAGAGAGCTGACTTAAGTGACCAAGCAATCCTGCATAATCTACTGCAGAAATCTGGAACCTATTCATACTTGTGGATATCTACCAATGTTAGGACTTAAAGATCCAGTTCAGCTACTCTTGTGGTCCACAAAATGATTGCACACTACAGGCATGTTACTTCCTCTTATACTTAAAAAAAAATTTTTTTTTTTTTTTTCAACATGTCGGCCGTCTCCCACCAAGGTAGGGCGACCCAAAAAAGAAAGAAAATCCCCAAAAGAAAATACTTTCATCATCATTCAACACTTTCACCACACTCGCACATTATCACTGTTTTTGCAGAGGTGCTCAGAATACACAGTTTAGAAGCATACACATATAAAGATACACAACATATCCCTCCAAACTCCCAATATCCCAAACCCCTCCTTTAAAGTGCAGGCATTGTACTTCCCATTTCCAGGACTCAAGTCCGACTATATGAAAATAACCCGGGTTTTCCCCCCGAATCCCTTCACTAAATATTACCCTGCTCACACTCCAACAGATCGTCAGGTCCCAAGTACCATTTCGTCTCCATTCACTCCTATCTAACACGCTCACGCACGCTTGCTGGAAGTCCAAGCCCCTTGCCCACAAAACCTCCTTTACCCCCCTCTCTCCAACCTTTCGAGGACGACCCCTACCCCGCCTTCCTTCCCCTATAGATTTATATGCTTTCCATGTCATTCTACTTTGATCCATTCTCTCTTTAAAAGACCAAACCACCTCAACAAACCCCTCTTCTGCCTAATACTTTTATTAACTCCACACCTTCTCCTAATTTCCACACTCCGATTTTTCTGCATTTAAAATTTACAAACCCCACATTGCCCTTAAACAGCACATCTCCACTGCCTCCATCCGTCTCCTCGCTGTTTGCATTTACCACCCAAGTTTCACACCCAATAGAGGTTGGACTACTATACTTTCATACATTCCCTTCTTTGCCTCCAAGATAACTTTTTTTGACTCCACATATACCCAAGCCCCACTCACCTTTTTTCCCTCATAATTTCTATGATTAAACCTCATCCTTCATAAACCCATCGCGACACGTCAACCCCCAAGTATCTGAAAACATTCACTTTTTTCCTACTCCCCCCCCCCAAATTTTGATACCCAAATTTTTTCCCTTTACTAAATCTTTGATACCCCCATCACCTTTCTTTTTTTATGTTCACTTTTAACTTTCCCACCTTTACACACATTCCCAAACCATCCACTAACCTTTTTCAATTTTCTTTAGAAACTCCCATAAGCACGTACATCACAAAAAAAACTGTGTCAATTCCCATTTTTAATTTATTCCCCAAAAATTTAAAACCCCCCCCCTCCCAACCCCAGCATTTACTTCCTTTACAACCCCACTATAAATTATTAAACAACCCTGGTGAATTACAATCCCTGTCTAAGACCTACTTTTTAAAAGGAAATATTCCCCCCTCTCTTCTACACACCCAACCTGGCCCCCACATCCATAAAAACTCTTTACAGCATTTATTAACTTACATATAGCAGAAAAAAACCAAAAAGTATTTCCCTTACAAATACAGTGCTAGACAGTTGGAATGTCTCCAAAAGGAAGTAGTGTTCAAACCAAACCCAACGCAGAAGACGGAACGTGAGGAAGAGTTTTTCAAAAAAAAGAATAATAACTACATAAAAATAAAAACCTTTTAAAATTTTTCCCCGGATTTTCTTATAAGGCAGAAATTTCCAATCAAATTCTAGTTTATTAAAATAAATAAAAAGGGTTTAAACGATATACAGCTGTTTTCCTGTGAGGGTTTTAACTACAGGATCCGGCCAACAGATGATGCCTATATTGTTTCCTTCGGGTAACATCTCGAACCTGGAATCCTCCTAGGGGCCTTCAACTGTTAGAATATCACTGTCTGTTGCAAGAAAAGGAAATGTAAATATGAAAAAGTGACATACAATTCAAATTTAATGGTACCCAGCTGAAGAATTACTAATCACTAGTGCACTACTTAAAAAAAAAAAAAAAGCTTGTACATTAGTTTTACATTTTAGATGCATAATTCTTGAACTCATGCACTTTTATTCCATCTTTGCTTTCCATAATTGATCACTTCATATTACTGCTACCCCTCCTCTAGTTCTAATTCTCTTAAATATAAGTATGATCCTGGTATAGCCAATTTTCAGCGTACTCCGTATAATACTGCATTACAGTATAGTCCATTTTTTTGTGGTGATAGCCATGGTTCCAGTCAATTTTAAAGTTGTTAATTTGATATGGCTCATTTACTTTTGTTCCATTTTTTATTTTCTGTGTAAAGCCTTTTATGACAAACTTAAACATGTATGAGGAGCTGAGGTTATGGTTAATACTGTACTAGAATACACACAAAACTAAAAATATGCATTGTGATTTACTCATTCACCTAAATAATTACATCCTGGCACCTAACAGAAAGTAACTGTTTAATTCTTAGCATGTATCAGATGCAATTATAGCTTTATGTTCAATATAACTGAGTGAGCGGTATCAAACATGGTTAACTTTGTAAATTTTACTGTCCAACTTGTATCAGTGAATGCTGAGATGCACCACAGCTCAAGCTTTCCTTACTGACCTTTACTGGATTTTGGTCTTCTTGAACTAATTCTTGATACTGTGTATGGGATTACCTCCACCACATCTATTTCATCCAAATCATCAACCACCAAGAAACACTGTAGTGTTAATTTCCCTATTGATCATGGTCTCTAGATGTCATGTGTGTTCCCTCGTCCATGAACTCAAGCTTCAAGCAGTGTATCTCTGTCTACCCTGTCAATTCTTCTTAAGAATGTGTAAGTTGAAATCAAGCCTTTCCTAATTTTTCCTCCTCTCCAAGACTGTCAGATTCAGCTCCTTTGTACTGTAGCCTATCCTCATAATGCATTCTTGAGCCCTGGAGGAAAACTCAACACTACCAGCAGAGCAAATTCCCCCTCATTTCTAGATTGTAGTCAGGGTCACACATTATCATAAGCCTGGACCTATTTTGCTTGATGCTTTTCTCCTCAGCAAATGCCCAGCATGGAACTCAAGTCAAGAGTAAACTTAAGTGAAAGTGCTTTTATATAAACACACAAGACCCCTCAGAAAATTTCCATTGCACACACAAGAGGTTGAAAAGGCTCTTGAGAAAAAGAAAGAAATACATTCTGCATTCATAGGTCCTGGAGAAAGCAAGATGAAGTGAATAAAAATGGGATGTAGTACATGAAAACATTTTAACCTTTCCATCAAGTCTGCAACTCTTAGCTAAAGTAGTGTATGTCTTCTTCTTTCAACAAACCAGCCGTATCCCACCAAGGCAGGGTGGCCCAAAAAGAAAAACGAAAGTTTCTCTTTTCAAATTTAATAATATATACAGGAGGAGGAGTTACTAGTCCCTTGTTCCCGGCATTTTAGTCACCTTTTACGACACGCATGGCTTACAGAGGAAGAATTCTGTTCCACTTCCCCATGGAGAAGTAGTGTATATATCTGATACAACACAAAGTATGTACCTTCTTGCTTTTACTGAACATTCATCCAGCAATTTACATGAAAAGTCCTCCTATGTTTTCCTTTTTACTTAATTTTTTGTAACAACTCCCCACTTGAAAGCCCAGAAAATACAAATCCACTCACCAACAGTAGCCTGTATCTTGGCATCCAAAAGAACTGCAGTTCCAACTTTTCGTCCCACTAGATCTTTATCTTTGTATACTCCTCGCAGCAGAAGAACATTTAACTTATGGAAATCAAAGCTGACTTCAGCTCGAATTGGATTCTTTTCTGGAGCTGCTTGATGCATGCTTGTTGTCTGAGAGACACTACCTACATCCTCTTTCCCTGGTGAAACGGAAGTAGTGGGTGTGGCAGGGACAGCAGATGCAGAAAGATGAGGATGCATACGAGGTATGACAGAGGAAGGTTGATGTGGGAATAATTGATGGATAAAGCCCACTAGTTCCACTACTGTTTCTTGATTGGCTGGAAAATAGTCAAAGATTAAGGTTAGCTAAATATTAATTGATTCCTTCCAATGATTAAATGGAATATTCTTATCTTTCCAAGAAAATATTCTTTCTGGGAGTCAGTAAATTTATGATACAAATGAAAAAAAAAAAATTGTCATCAGCTTAAAGGGCAAAGTACATTTGCAAATATTTTTGCCCTTTACTCTACACAATCCCCAAATATTTGGATATTTCCAATATTTCACAGCAATTGTAAAAATATTTTTTTTATGATTCTGTCAATATTATAAATTTACTTAAATAATAAATTTAGAAAGGCTTATAAATAAGTTAGTGTTTTCCTTATGAAACTAGTGATCTAGTGCTGTTAGCCTTTCAAAAACTCTGCTTTCTCTTACCCAGGGCCAAAGAACACGTTATAGAAAGCAGTAGTAATGATTTTATATGCTCGAACTGGTCCTGGACACTTGCCATATTATGGGCTATTTTATTCATTCTAGAGTATACATCATATTACTATGCTATTTATAGTGTTTGCTATGTCATATTAGATCAATTCTGATAGATAAATAAGCCATAGAGTTGATATTAGCATTATATTGAGGTATTTTCTCCTGCCCCTCAAGACTCAGGAATTCCGCCGACGCAAGCGTTCCCAGACGGTTCCTGATCTCCAAGGTAAATACACTTTATAAAACCAGTTTATTTCTTTACATTCTCTTTTACAGGTCTCCTGGCACATTCATGAGGGTTAGGGGATCAAGGACCTTGCGAATGTTGAAAAATCGCAAATGTTTGGTGCACAAATACAGTGGTCCCTCGTTGTTCATAATTAATCCGTTCCTGGAGCCGTTACTATAAACAAATTTACGATTTACGAATCAATTTTCCCCATAAGAAATAATGTAAATACAATTAATCCGTTCCTGACACCCAGAAGTATTAAAACAAAAAAATTTTTAACATGAAATATGCATGTAGTACATAAACAATACAATGGGAAATGATGAATGAAACATTAACAGCATAACACTTACCTTTATTGGAGATTCTTCTTAGTGTATGGGAGACTGGAGGAGGAGAGTGGATTGTTTATAGTTTGGAAAGGGGGAAATTCCCCTTCCATCAACACCTCAGGTCCCAAATTTGCTTTTCTGGGGTTGCTTCTCTTCTCTGTTTCTTAATGCCACTGGGACCACCTTGAGAGTCACTGGAGTCCTGTCTACAAAATAACTGTAAAGGGAGAGCTCTGTTTCTGGCATCTCTTTAACACTTCCTAAAATGGCCCAAGACTTTGTCACTGTACATGTTGCCAACCTGGCTTGCAACAACCTTGTTAGGGTGATGTTTCTCCATAAAGCTTTCCATCTTACCCCACATAGTAAAAATCTCTTTAATTTCTGAAGAAGGCACCTTCTTCCATCTCTCTTCCTCCTCCTCTGCAGCAAGATTCTGAGCTGCGATGTGTTGCTCTTCCTGCTGAAGCTCTTGCAGCCCCTCAGTGGTGAGCTCTTCATTGTGGTCTTCCACTAATTCTTCCACATCCTCCAAAACTCACATCCAACCCCATGGAACTCCCCAGTGCCCAATTGATTTTACAACAGACATAGGCTCATTAGGGTCAGCCCCAAATTTTTCTTCAAAATCCCTCTTGTCAACACAATTGGCCACAATTTTCTCCAGGCAGAGTTCAAAGTCCTGGTAGTCACTCCCCCCCAAGCCATACCTATAAGGGATATGCAGTGGAGGATGCTGAAGTGTTCTCTCCAAAATTCCCTTAGGGTCAAGTGAGTGTCTGTGGTCACAGTCAAGCACCTGTGAAAACATTGCTTTTGTGTAGAGTTTTTAAAAAATTTGCAATAACTACTGGTCCCTGGGTTGGAGGAAGGAGTGGTATTCGGGGGCAAGAACTTTACTGTGATGAACCCAAACTCCTCGGGAAAATTTGGTCATCCAAGTTTGGGAGGATGAGCAGGTGCATTGTCCATTACTAGCAGGCACTTGAGATCCAATTTCTTTTCAGGAGATATCCTTCACACTAGGGCCAAACACTTCATTGAACCACTCGACAAAAAATTTCCCTCGTGACCCATGCCTTACTATTAGATTTCCAAAAAACACAAATTTACCTTCATAACATTGTTTTTCCTGAACACTCCAGATTTTCAGAATGGACATAGTAATGGCTTCACTTTGAAATCCCCACTAGATTAGCACAGAACATTAGCGTCAGCTGTCTTTTCATAGGCTTTGTGGGCCTGGCATTGCCTTTTCCTCTTGGTGTAATGAAGGTCCTCCTTGGCATTTTCTTCCAAAAAAGGCCTGTCTCGTCACAATTGAACACTTGTTCAGGTTTCAGTCCTTCAGGGCCCCTATTTTACTCCTGGAATTCATGCACATATTTTTCAGCCGCCTTGTGGTCGAACTGGCAGCCTCACCATGCCTTACCCCATGTGTATGCCAGTACGGTTCTTAAATCTCTCAAAAACCCGCCTTTGCTGGCCTTAAATTCACTCACTTCACCACTATTTGCAGGCAATTTCTTTACCAAATCTTCATGCAACTGCCTAGCCTTTTCACAAAAAACGAAGTCATAAGAGTATCTCCTGCTAATTGTTTCTCATTTATCCACACCAATAATAACTTCTCAACCTCTTCCAGTACTGATGATCTTTATTTTTGTCAGCATAGTTACTCCCTTTGCAACAACAGCATCCTTTATTTCATTTTTCTTGGCCATATGGAACATAAGGTTGTGTTTGGGTTTCTTATACATCCTGGACAGTTCGGCCCACTTGTACCACTTTCATATTGTTCAATGATGGTTTTCTTAAATTCAATCGTATTTCTCACCTTCTTTACCACAGGCTTGGCACTAGGAGCTTTCTTTGGAGCCATGGTAGCTTATTTAGTACTTGCAAGCACTAAAATAAATGGAATATTATGAAATATTTCGCTGGAGCACGTGAGGGGACCTTCGCTCACTGGTAAACAATGCCAGACTGGCTGCCGCCCTGGCTCACGCCATGGGTACGCGTCCCGGACGAACTATGACTCGCGAGTCAACCTATGAAAAGCGAGTCCATGTTTATACGAAAATACCTCTATGATTGGCGAATTTTACGATTGCCGGGAACTACGAAAAGCGGAGGACCACTGTATATTGTAGGGAAATATAATAATAGCATTTACTTAGCCTAACAATACTGCCTCCTTAACCTACTGAACCATGAACAATCATAAACACAAGAAAACATTGTAAAATATTGTACTAGTGACAGCCCTTTGGTAAAGAAGGTGAGAAAAACTATAGAATTCAAGAAAGAACTCGTAGCAGAATACCAAAGTGGAGGAGGAAGAGAGAGGGGAGAATGTGCCTTCTTCAGTGATTCTATGATATGTACAATACTAAATCAGCATGAGTCGATATAGGCTATAGCGCCGGCCAGCGACAAAGTGTAGCATTAACAGTATAGCAAGTAAGTTATGTGATTAATAGATAGAAAAAGGATAGCACAAATCTAACTCCTCCAATGTTGTTGGAGTTACATAGGGTGACTGACAACACCGCCGTCTCTAGTTTCTACCGCCTCTGCTGCCGCCTCCACCACCACTATGTACGGCTTATGCTCTCAGTGGCCCTTATACACCCAACAACAACACAGCAATACTCGTGACATACTTAATGACGTATTTTATTCATTCTAGAGTATATGTCATGTTTCTATGTTATTAATATTGTTTATGTCATATTAGATGAATTGTGATAGATAAATAAGCCATAGAGTTGTTATTAGTGTCATATTAAAGAACTATCTTGTCCTATCTCCAAAGAAACTCTGCCACTGCCACAATTCCTAACATGTGTAATGACACATTTTAAATATGACTGGGCAGCTGGGAATTCGCGAATGTTCAAAGCCTGCGAAAGTGGAAAATGCGAATGTTTAGGGAGACCTGAATTATGTTATATTATGTTTTTATACAATATTTCTTATTTATGAATACATTTTTCTTATTTAAAAAACCCATAACAAAAAAACTGGGGTGGTTTTTTGGGGACTGGAACAGATTAATGGCATTTCAATTAATTTCAATGAGGAAAATGGATTTGATATACAAGCAAATCGAGTTACGAGCTGTCATGGAATGAATTAAACTCGTAAGTCAAGGTACCACTGTATAAATAACAATTTTTCTAAGAGATTGCTAAGTCTAAGTAATTTTAGCTAAGTACGTACTACTAAAAAAATATCTCTGATACACAAACTTTTCACAAGTCATTATCTCTGGTAACAATACAGGAGCTCTTAAAGTTACATTCAGTGCAAGCAAAAAAAAATTGCTGATACCCTATATCACTCTATAATAATAGTATATATTTTCCCTTGCACAGTTTCCATTTCATATTTCTAAATCCATTCTGGAGTAGTGCAAATAGCTCATCAAGAATAACTGGACTAATGAAATTTCATAATCAGTGAAGAATCTTTTCCTTGATATACAGTAGGGCCCTGCTTTACGGCGTTTTGCCTTACGGCATTCCGCTAATATGGACATTTCAAATCATGAACAAAACTCGCTATACGTTTCCCCCCCCCAACTTTCTAATACAGTCACCACGCCCCACCCAGTTTGTTTACATTCTCCGGGAGCACCATGTCCCCCCATTATGTCTGGAAACTTTCCAAAATTTCAAGTGTTTTAACCCCTAAATGGTCCAAACGTATATATACACTCTTACCGCTAGCACCCCAAACGTATATATATATACGTTTTATTTTTCCTGCCTCCACTGGCCTGAGATGCCTGGTCTTAACACTCGGTGTGCAACATATTAAAAAAACATTAAAAAAATATGGGAGTGCCAGTTAAACTCAGAGCCAGCTAGAGCAAACAGTGCGGCAAACACCAAGGATTCACTGATGTAATGTCATATTAACACTCCCCTTTTAAGAGGAAAGTGATGTTAACCCGAAGTTTAGGGTCTGTATCTATCTCTATCTATCTCTA